TGGTTTGTTTAAGAGGAAAAAATTAAACAATGATATAAATGGCAATGAGCAATGTTTTTCTAGTGGCTTGAGCGTGCGACTTTCATCCCATCATCGGCTGAGGTCGTTTGGAACTCCTGTGCATCAATGGGCTTTCTATGTGGGCATTTAACACTCGCCTATAAAAATAATAATAAAGCCATTTTAATTCCATACTAATAAAATTATAATATTTTTTATTACATACTATTAAATGTGTACATAACTAATATATACTCAATAGTTATTTCCATTATTTCGCGTTCTGCAGTATGGGTAAAGGCCTCCTGAACTTTCCATTTGCATCTGTTATTTGCTTCCTCCATTTATTTCTACCCAGAAACCTTCATGATGTCGTCAGCTCATCGATTTTGTGGTCTACCCTCGTTTCTTTTTCTTGGAGGTCCCCTTCAACGGGTGGCTTCGGCGTTCCCATTTCCATTTCAGCTGTAAGGCTTGGGTATTCTTAGGCCACTAGCTCATACGGCAAGAAAACATCGTAAGGCCTTACTTTGTAACTTACATAGAAACTTTGCCTTACTATTTTTAAATAATTATAAATACATATTTTTTAAAGTTATTGGTCAGTACCAATAAGTAAAGTTAAGAATATTTTCTTCGCTTTATGCATCTAGAGATAGACTACACTGCACTGCGCAGCGCTTAACTTTCAACCGAACAAACGCTACTGCTAGGGTGAGATTCAGAAACGAAACTTAGCGCGAACTAAGACCCCTTAAGAGTACAAAAACGCATTCGATTTTCGTTTTACAACGTAATTCAACGTATTAGTCATACTAATACTAGTTTCTGAAGGTACTCTTAGACTCAAAAGATCGATAACCATTTAAAATTATCAACGCAATGCTCGCCCACGCACGCATGTCACGTGATCTGTCATTTATCATAAGACAAAACAGTTTATTATGTTTTTTGGAAACATCGCATTTGAGTAGTATTCACTTATTTCCCTCAGAAGTATTATATGTTAACGGTTACTACTTATACGATAGAACTACACAATTATATCTACACGGATAATTCACCAATTAAAAATACATAACAAGCAGCTCTTGTAACGTAATTGAAACATCGATCAACCGTATGTGCATGTAAAATTTTCTTCTGTTGAATTTTCGAATAAATTTTCGTAAAGTTACTTGGATAGTTTTAATTTCATGTTGATAGGTATCTAAGGTAATCGTTGTAAGGCTTCCTTGATAGCGAATAAATTAATTGGGGTCAAGCAACTAAGCCAGGGCGGGGTATGTGGAGAAGCCTCCGCAAGATACACGTTTAATAAAGTTTATTGTTGTATGTAGTAGCGACCCTCTGGTTTCGCACGTGATTACCGCAACTGAGAGCTTGATATGGTATAACTAAACCTTAAAACTCTGGCAACGCACTCGCAAGCCTTCAGGCATTGAGTCCATGAGCGGGGAATCATCTAATATATGAGCCTCTATTTCGCGACCTGTTCCATAAAAAAACCTTCATAAATCATTCTAGATATCGGTGAAAACCGTAATAAATTCAGTTTTGTATCGCGCAGCCCGAACATACAACGACCACTATTGAAGCTTGTTTAAGGTATCGCAGTATATCCTTAAAAGGAGTATTAAGAATATCCATAACGCTAAATCACCTGCACCATGAACACACCCAACAAGGGTGTGTAACCCTCACATACACCCTCTCTTTCACACCACATCGGAATTAGGTAAAATCAATCATTTTTATTGAGTTTTTCCTTTCGTAAATATTTGAACCTAAGTATATATTATGTATTCCATCTTTGGCTATATGTTAAGTATTTTTTTAAATATATAATTTCTGTTAGCTGTAGGAATACAAATAAATTCGGTGCAGTAGTTTTTGTCGCGAACAGACGACTATACACGGTAGAGGAATCGATGTGTTAAACATAAAAGTTAGATTTATGTTGCTGAATTTTTATCAGGCATTTTCAAGCCCAAATTAACAATTAAATAAGCAAAATCATTAAAATTTCATACATCTTAACCAACGTTTATTTCTGGCGTTAAGGTGAAATCATGTCGTTTTAAGAATCATTACTCACGTAAAATCAAAGTTGTTTTTATATAATTTAGGTATTTCAATACCTAGAAACGTAAAAGTAACGGTCCGTTTCGCTTTCACTATTAAATCGCTCGACCGTTTCAACGAAATAAGGACATAAAGAACTGCCTTTGACGATTGTTCTGGAAAGAATATGAATAAAACGCAGTAATTGGTATTCTAAACGTTCAGAATTTTTGCAAAAAACGTCATAATTCAAACATAGCAAGGAAAGAAGAAAAACAATTGCTGGTAGTTGTTCTTGGTCTCTGAATGAATTGGACTTTATGTATAATAAGTGTTTTTAACACAAGCCTAAATCTCAATACACAAAAAAGTTTTATACATAACTCATGGGTAGCATTCAGAAACGAGGCATAGTCTGATTCATGTAATACAAAAATGTTTTTGTCATACGGGAGTCGCTCTCAATGTTATTGCACTGTTTTAATAAAAGTATTGTCGTCTCTTTCGTTAATTGTATTTTCAATATAATGAAAAGAGACGGGTTCTTTTCTTTGATTAAGTTTTAGTTCTTTTTTGAATAAGGCGTGTTGAATTCAAATGTATTTTATCGAGTTTCGCAATATTTACACTAATATTATTAAGAGACTGAACTGATTTGAAAAATTCATTCACCAATGAAATCCTAGATTATCACTGATGAAAGACTTAATTAGCGATCCGTCTGAAACCTTCGATAATGTAACCGAATGTAAAAAAATACCAATAAAAATCCCTATAACGCTGCGGAAACTATTGACAATAGATCTGATGTACTTCAGTTAAAGAACACATCAATATCTCCAAGTCCGCGATACTATATGTGTTACACATTACACATATTACATATTTTATACAATCGATATCCAGCCGTGCGATGCCACGATAATAAATTGCAAGTTTTTACATAAAACTGTCTAAAATATTGTTTCAGCCCACGCCCTACGCGGGCTAATTTGATGGTTAAGGGCTATTCGAAAATTTATTGATATTATTTGGAATTTGAAGAGATTTTTTTCTATTATGTATATGTTACGGTTTATATCATATGTGGTTACGGACCTTTTTCATTATCCGTTGAGTGAACTGACAAAAGTTCTATTAGTTAGCCTGTAGTAATTAGTACATTTTTTGTATTTATTTTTATTATATAATTTTGTAATAATTTCTTGTTTGTTTTTTGTTTCGACTGTAAATTTTGTTCACCTGTTGGGACAGGCGTGTTTTTATAAGTAAATAAATAAACTTTTACATAATATACTTCGTAGACGAAGTTACCACAACCTATATCGGAAACATATAGGTCATACGAGTAATAGAAGAGAAGTGTGCTCAGAATCTATTGTACTGACACATTGTAAATTCTCACACTGCATCATACTTGCGCTCAGAATTATTCACGTTCAAGGTTGGTCAGCTATTCAAGTCTTTATTATAGTTTCGGAATTGCCATCAAATAATAAAGGAATCCCTCATATTTTTCTGTATCTGTTTCGTGATAATTTATTTTTATAATAGCCAAGTAGGTAGGACCTACCCTTGTCTTTTTGGGTCTAAGGCATGTCTAACGATGTTTTCCTTCACTTCACTTCCCAAGGATAAGAGTTGCACGCTGAAGCCACTAACTATGCCTACATTGCTCTTATAAACTTTTAAAATGCCATGGTGCTTGCTTATAGCCTTTTTAATTTAGTTTTATTAATATTCATCTAGTTATGATGCCTATATTACGTAAAATGAATAATAGCAAATTATCTTTGTATATAAAATACAAACATTGTTTTTCTCATACTATCATATTTTTTACGTATTTACGGCTAAAAAACTGGAGAGTCGCTATTCAAAGGTTTTTTTATTTCGAAACTAAATGTTCCATTTTTAAAATTTGCTTCAAGCTTTTCTGTTGCCGGAAATGTTCTTGATTCCACGGCACGTAATGTCAGAATTGTTGAGTGAAATTGGGGCATGGAGATGCAGATTGGGAGGGACTGTTTGACGTAGAAATCGCATTGAAACAAACTGCATTAAAATTATTATTTTTAGAATTAATCATTTTAGACATAGACATAACTTTTTATTTTTATTTATTACTAACAAAACACACAATATTACAATATTAAAAAGAATGAAAGATAACATTTTTGTTTTCTTTTAAAGAACAAGGTACGTTTTAAGTGTGTAATGTGTGTGTGCTGTGGTTGTAATTGGCCCTAGCTCAGCATTATGTTGAGGAGCAGACCGTTCCACAGTGCTGGTCATTATGTCAGAGACCACATCAGTTAGTTTGCGCCTCAGTCTCAGATTAATAAACCAATTTTCGAGAACTCACTCTTGAGAAATTACTACTCTTACGGCTGCTTTCTTTACTCAATCCCAATCTAATTTTTACTACTAGAGATTGATAACAATCTATTTCTCATACAATACTTTTCAATAACCGATCGATGAATCGTTTTTGTATAATATCTTTGAATTAGACAGATCGAATTTTGACATTTATCTATCTAAGTCTGCGAAAGCCTGGATTAGAACTAATTTTAGATTATAGATCTAGTTTAGATAGCGGCCGTTAGTAGATTTAATAAAATTTATGAAGTATTTTGGCTTTGTACTACAAGAAAAAAGATTATATACAAAGCCCAATCTGAATAAATCGGAAACTAAAATGGAGAAGCTTTAAATAATAATTAGTATTACTACTTGTAGCGCGCATCTTTGTTCGCATCTCGAACATACATACATATATCATTGTTAAGACATCTTCCCGAAACCAACCTTAACATCGCAGCCCAAAATAGAAGTTTAGTGTTACCTCACACGATGTACTATAAATACTGTGTCATTGAACTTGAATCATTGTGACTCAGCGTGAACTGTGATTATGTAGAAGTATTGGAAGGATGATCCGAGCATTAACATCCAGACGGTGGTCGTTGAGAAGAGAGAGCGAGAGGTGAGTGTTTTTATAGAAAAATATTCAAATACTCTCCACAAACAAGGTCGTCGTCAGCTGATGGTCAAGGGGAACTCAGAAGAAGTAGATACAGAGGATGGGAAAAGTATGAATTGTTTACAGCCAGCAAAAACGTGGTCTTGACTGTAAAACATATAAGTATAGTAACTAAAGGCAATAAAAATAAATTTTGGAAATTATTTTAAAAAAATGTGTTTTTAACTCTCTAGGGCTGTCTCAAATATTGAGGCGAGTTAGGAATGTTACAGCTGAACAGACGATATATATAGAGCAATTCGGCTTTGAAATGTTATGTCCCATTTGTTAACCAACAATTTAGAAATATTTATTTCTTTACAAAAATACCCTTACAGTTCTGAGCCAATACGTTAATGTCGAAATTAAAAATAATATATAATATTAAATTCATAGTATACACAATATCGCTGCTGTGAACTTTGCGAACATATAAAGATATCGATAGTGTCGGAGATAGCATCAGTACGCGCAACGGCTTTGCTAACGGAGATTTGTGCAACAGACTGGTTCTGGCCCTTGGTATCGCAAACAACTACCCCTAGGTAAAAAGAAACAGAGGTCTCGGAGGACACTTGGGTTGCTACCCGCCGCAAGACTTAGTAGAAAGAGCAGTGAAACACCTTCTATAGACTATAGAGATTATGTTTTATTTAAGTAACTGGTATCGGATAAAATTTGGTTACAAAAAAGATTTGTCTATTTATCGAGTTTGTGTGTTTATATCTACTGAATATATGTACTTCCACAAGGAGAATTTGTGCTAACCATGAATCTGATAAAGTTAAACAATCGGGCGGTGAACCAGGGCCTCAGGGACCCTGATGGTTACGTTAGGCGACCCTTTTCGTACCCTCAGCGAAAACAAACCTTACGGAAGGGGGCGTAGAAGTAATAATTCTTCTTGTGACAATATTTGGAACTAATCATAGTTTTTTTGCAAAATACATATTCCAATAGTTCACATACACATAGGCCATTTCCCAAGGTACTTTGATATAGCCTGCCTAGACCAGCAGAACTTTTTCAGTTCAGCAAAGCTTTTTCTCGTAGTGAACGTATACCTTCACGGTAGGAAGATAGTCTAGTGAATACCTATATGTGTACTTTATACATTGTATTTTGTATTGACGATCATGTAACTCCACAGATCTCTATCATATAATTTTTATATAAACGTTTCTATATTTGTTCGTAAACGTATGGACGTAAACATTGCACAACTGCCAAATGGGCTCTAGCGATTTCGCTGTGACGTCACATTAATCTTTAGTACACAATAAATCTTGTCGAAACTATGCATTGGGAACTAATCTATTTAATGCACTTCTCTTCATTACTGAATGTCGTGCATGTCTTGAAAAGCCCTAACTGATACCTCGACTTGCTGCCACCTTACCACTCTACCTTCAGCTTGTCTCAGTGCATTAATTTCATTAGGGATGTTGAAACCTTAATAATTGTTTTAATTTGGTCAGACCAACGAGTAGGCGATCGACCACATTATGTAGAAATAAACTTTTGAAGATAGATTTGTGAATTGAATTTGTATGAACACTATATAACTTTCTTTTATGACTTTCGTCCTGAGAGCATAAGGAATATTTTGAAATTATCTTAGATTAAGGGTCGAGATATTGCGATACGTACCAATGCTGTATATAGACGAAGTCACTTAACATCAGATGAGCCTTTTTTCTTATATAACAAATAGGCGCACAGGGCTGATTTTATGTCATACCGCTCGATACTCACATTGCTTGAAGGATCGCAAGTCGTTGCCGGCTTTTTATGAATTGGTACGCTCTTTTCTTTAAGGAGTCGATTTGGTGGAGCCTCTTGTCCGTTTACTTATTCTAAAAAAAAAAACCTGTATGCAAGCTCCCTAATTTTTTACGACCTCATCCGCTAAGTCTAGACTTCGAATTTTACCCTTTGTTTAAAATTAGTATAACTAAATATTTTTCGTTAATAAGTGCACTGTTAGTCAAGAAAAACACAGATAAACGTACAAAAGGAACTTTTTGGCTGTTGTATGAAATTTCAGTGCATTGCAAGATCACCAATACAAAAGTCAAAATCATTTATTCATATAGGTAACACAATGTACACTTATGAACGTCAAAAATTTTTGAGAGTTCACATAAATACCATTAGTAATTAAGCGTAAGATAACTCATCTTACGCTTAAATACTACTGAATTATCTGTATAAGGTTTCAGTCACGTAAGCTAAGGGTGCAATATACTGTGTGAAAAACGTTCTGAATTTAAATTAATTTCCAAGTTTGACCTCCACACGCCCTTCGACCTTACAGTTGATTGCTATCAGTGACCTCGATCGTGACCGTCGATCATTTTATAGATATGAAAGTTCTATTCAATTGTGTGATCGAAGTTTTGTATAGTTGATATTCATGCAGATTTATTCTCCTTATAGTAAGTACTGTTAGTATGGTAGTTAGTAGTTATAAAAAATCCTCATCCATTATAGTTGTTTAAATAATTAAATTTTTATGTTCAACAAATAGATGTCACCTGTGGAATCTTGAATCGCGGTATTGTTTTGATTTAAGAACAGTATAAGTTTTTCAAGGTATTTTTATTAAATATCTCAGCCTTAGAAATGGTGTTTTTCTTGTTCAATAGGAGACACCATAAGGCCTCTCCTTAATAGGTATCGATTTTAAATCAAAAGTTCACATATAAAACCGTCTTCGAGTGAATTATTGTCGAATTCTGTTGGCGGATATAACGTTTCAATAATTTGTATTGAATAAATAAATAGTTTATAATACAAAAACTTTTCTTACTAGCATATTAAGACAACATTTGTTGATAAGGCCGGCAACTTGTGAGCCTTCCGACAGTATAAGTGTCCATTATTTTCCCGTATACCTTACAGATTTTATCGAATAGAGTAGTGACAACAAAATATGTATGAAAACTTAAAAATTGTTTACACGGCGTTCATACGGGAAAATCCCGTGTTCGAGAAATATATTTTACCGTATACCGTGCGAAGTTGTCACTGGAAACGCCACGTCTCGAAACGATTTTATCGAATACGACACGCAGTGGCGCTTATGTTCATGTTGTCTCGTTCACACGACTCGCCCATTCGAGTATTTTGTATCAGTACAAGGTAGGCTGGAATTCTCTAGCCTTGATAGTAAATCATCAAAGGTAGTTATTGACATGCGGAAATAATTAAAAAACAGACGTTCGTCATTTCTGAGGCTAGGAGAAAATTTTTTCGAATCTACTTTCTCGATGAGGACCAGTCTTTAGAAAAGGATGAACCCAATACCTCCTAGGACGCTGCTTGCATCTCCGTCTATGAAACCAATATAACAGTAGTGGAACACGTGGATCCATGATGGCGTGCAGCATACTACTACAAGTGGCTGCAGAGTTGTCTCTTGCGAACGTTTTTACCGTATACGTGAAAAAATCGAATCGAATGGTTGCCGTGTGAACGATTGCATCGTATACGGTAAAACCGTATACGTGAAAAAATCGAATCGAATGGTCGCCGTGTGAATGTGGCCTTAGTGTCCATGGGCGGCGAACATCAAGTGAGCCTCCCGTTTGCCTATTACATAAAAAAAACATTTGTTTAAAATTTTGAATTTCTAGACTGCTATGCATCTATTCTTTTCGCTTCATCACAGTTTGACAGACACACATACATAATAACACACATACATAATAATAATAAAAAAAATAACAAAAATTGCTCTCTTCTTGGCAATAATTTTGGATAAGACAAATTCCCTCGATTCGGTTTTAGCCACATTTAGACTCAGCCCTGACCTGTCGGACATGGAAGTGAGCAGATAAGTGGGCAGTGCTATTATGTAAATAGGTCACTTGCGCTGCTCACGCCGCTACTATTGTTGTGTAAAGCTGAGTGAGAACACTTCACTGGCGCCGATATTTCAAAAAGAAGTATTTTGGCCTGATAGCGGCATTGTAAATGTGGTATTTCACATAAGGTCTACTTTAGCAAGTATTTTTATTTTTATATTTTAATATAGGGTATTTCATGCAGTGTTGGCCTAGTGGCTTCAGCGTACGAATCTCTTCCCTGAGGTCGTAGGTTCGATCCCCGGCTGTGCACCAATGAACTTTCTTTCTGTTTGCGCATTTAACATTCGCTCGAACGGTGAAGGAAAACATCGTAAGGAAACCGGCTTGTCTTTTACACAAAGAGTCGACGGCATGTTTCAGGCACAGGAGGCTGACCTACTTGCCTATTAGATTAACAAATGATCATGAAACAGATTCAGAAATCTGAGGCCCAGACCGAAAGAGGTTGTAGCGACACTGATTATTTATTTTTTAGTAAAGTCTAGAATAAAATAATAATAATTAAGCCTCATTTATTCCTTACAACATACATATATATTTACAAATGGTATCTACACACACTTATTATTTTAATTTTTTTTTATATTTTTTTTTTTTTTCATTTTTCTCCCAATCCCCAAGATTCCTAATCTTAAAGATTGCTCGTTGTGCAAGAGGAAACCTCTCTTTCTTTTCCCTGGTGCCCTTTCCATCTTATTACCCTGTTTGTTCATCTGCCATTGTTTACCCAAGTGGTGTAGCCCGCCCATTTCCACTTAAGTTGCAATGTGATATTAATAATATAATTTAGACTAACATAAAATACTATTGTTTAGGAAGTAAGCGTAGAAAATCATTTTCGCACACTCTAAAGAGATTTTGAATATGACTGTGTTCCAGCTAAGGTTGAATCGCTGAACAGTGTTCATTTCGTTAATTAATGTTAAATAGACCGTGCGATAAAAAAATTGCTATTCAAGGTTGATCACGAAACAATAATTGTATGAAAAACTAAATAAGTTGTTTTAGTTTCGTTTGCTATCTTTATTTGTGGAAAATTCTATACAGAAATCAAATCAAGGCTCGGCAGCTTTGCAGTTCCTTACAATTTACTTTTAAACCAAAACTTAGCGATTATTTTTGAGTGGAGAGTTTCTTGCCAGTTCTTCTGATTTTGGAACTGGTAGATTTGGCAAAGGTTAATTGATGATATATATTTTTTTAAATATTGACGTTCTTGTACATAGTTACCAATATTGTTTAATATATTTTCCTTTATATTGAATAGAGCTCTTTACTATATGCATGCTGTTCCTACCGCATTTACTACGGAGTGAGTTCAGAGGAGTTGTTCGGATTAATGCCTGCTGCTGAGTTTCATAATCGGACGTCGAGGTTGAATACGAAATTTCACCCGTATCACCTCTTTGTAAAACCAGCTGCCCACTGAAATATTTCCGAACCAATTCGCCCTAGCAAGAAAAGAGCGTATCAATTCCTTAATATCCGGCTACGCACTTGCGAGCCCTCTGGCAATGTGAGGGGCTATAGGCGGCGGTATCATTAAACATCACTTGAACCTCCAGCCTGATTGCGGGGGCAAACGTAAATGAAATATCAAAAACGTTAACGTTAAACGTAACAAATAATTTCAATAAGTAAGCGTTTTATCTAGTAAAAGTATTTTGTTGTGGTATTAGCGTAAATAATAATGTCAGAAATGTCATACTTCGCGAAAAAATGACGTGGTAGTCATCCGTTCTTGTATACTGCGTGCTTATGGAAATGGTTTTAAAATGGTAATATTTTTTCGCAACTCATGAAGAAAGAAGAAGAAATTAACCCATTTTTGTATAATTCCAGCATCAAGAACATGAAAAATAATACAGCTAGTTTAAATTGATATCTGTGCTCAGCTATGATCTATCTCAAACATCAATTGTACAGTTTACATTCACTGGAATTTGTAAATGCATTGGAAAAATGTTCCACATAATGGGATTCCAGCATTGTTAGTCATCCCACGCATACTGTCACTCATCTTTTGTTGAACTTTGAGTTTTGTTTTAAAATACTACAACTTGCTACGAATATTTCAGAATCTTCAGTTACGACTCGTGGGGAAATAATTGTTGATATGAATAAATTTTAATATAAAACTTTAGCGGGTAATTATTAATGAGAGAAAAATATTAAGTTAACACCATCTTGTCAACTTGTCCTTTGCTGATACAGAAAATATTCTTACTGTTAAATTATAAATTGTGTTATGTAGAAATTATTGTCAAGTACATTTAATATGTCAAAAGGAAGAGACTGGCCCACAATACAGAGAATCCTTGTGTGGGGGCTAATGCACTTTATTTTACCTAAATATCCTGTTATTGTGTATAATAAAGTTTTCTTTCTTTCTTTCTGCTAATTTCTAATAATAAAATTGCTATAAATTTTCCTTTAATTTGTTTTGTTTAATTTCTATTTATCTCTTCGTGTTTGCCTATAACTGCTTTTCATTTTAAATCTTGTATTTTATTTTTCTTGTACCAATGTATCACTGAAGCGAGCTTTTTTAAATAAATAAAAATTATGAATTATTATGTAACAAATCAATTCCTACTAGAGTTTAAATTACTATTAATTAACGACAAAAACCTTTCAATTATTGTTTATTAATTTTTGTCATACATGATGTGCAGGTAGCGAATAATATCTAATAATATTAGCATAACAGCTACGCCAGTTCTCATTTCGCACATCTACGACCTATGGATCTGCAAACTATTTCTTACTATCAAAAGCTTTTCGTGTGATTTAATCAATTTAATTGTTTCAGTGCAAGTCGTACATGCGCGACGGTGGGTGCGTCCGAGTCAGAGGCGTCGCCCTCTGTTGATCTTCCTAGGACCAGAGACGGCGAGATTGACTATGATGGTAATTTTTTTATCTCTTCTTCTGTCGCGCTCTTCATTTCTAAAGGTCATGTTAGGCGCCGCACAACTTCCTCCAGACTCCCCTGTCCTCAGCAAGCCTTTGCGCCTGGGTGATGGTAAGACTCAAAGGGCCTCTACTTGATGGGTCCAGCGAGTAAAGGTTCGGGCTCGAGATCTGGTGCACTTTTCCAGTCACGATAAGGTTTTCTAAACTTTCTGGATCTCAGCGTGTTACATGTCCAACTCAGGACGCGTTGGTAACAAAGTGTCGAAAGACGATTTTTTACCTGTGACCGTCTTAGTTTGTTTCCTTAGCTGTTCAGGGAAATATATTCAATATAAAAAAAATATAATTCGGGATGGGGGAAGTGATTAGAAAATTTTATCAATAAACAATAGAGGCCTGTTGGCATATTTCTCACCAGGTTTATCCATCAAGAAAAACATCGTAAGAACAAACATACCTTCTACCCAATAACATTTTTTTAGACACAATGCTGTTAAGAATCTTTATTATTTTAATTTGATTTGGACAGTATTCCAATACTTGCCTTTCAACGATATTTATATTTATTTAAATAACACAAACAAGATTACCCCATGTCCCATTTGGGAGGTAACAGGACTTCATTATAATATATTATTTCTTTAAAAGAAATTTAAAAATGCTTTTAACTTAATCGCGATCGTGATACTCGTATTCTTTGTAAAAATAAACGTTAAAATGACTCACGCGCATAACCAGAATGCACGTGACAGGAATTGCTTTTAATAGTTTCTAATGAATTGAGTCAGCGATAACATTGTTTAACTTCATGTTTCAAAACTTCAAATATATTAAATGCAAAGCTGATCTAAATTTGATAAAGATTTAAGAAGATTGACTTGACAATAGAAGCTGCACGCCGTATGAAAATTTGTGGCTCTACAACCTTTTTAGGTCTGGGCCTCAGATTTCTGTATCTGTTTAATGATCATTTGTCATTCTAATAGGCAAGTAGGTGATCAGCCTCCAGTGCCTGACACGCCATCGACGTTTTGGGTCAAAGGCAAGCCGGTTTCCTCACGATGTTATCCTTTACCGTTCGAGCGAATGTTAAATGCGCACATAGACAGAAAGTGCATTGGTGCATAGCTGGGGTTCGAACCTACAACCTTAAAAATGAGAGTCGCACGCTAGAGCCACTAGGCCAACACTGCAAATTATTATAGCGTTTTTAATTTTAGTATAAGCCTGATTAATACCTCCGTATTCATAGAAACTAAAGTTTAAAGGCACTCTTTTACACAGAGGACTCTTTCGTCTCTTTCTGTCAATTCGTGTTTACGCTGTGATCAAAAGGGACAGATGAATACCTTTTTATAAGGGAGCAATTGGTTTGTTTTATTTTTTAATTTATTGCCTAATGTTATGAAAATACCTAATTTTTAACAGACTGTTAAAAGGAGTTAAAACAATATTTCTCTACTTTCAGCTCTTTACGAAGATGACTCGGACAGCGATCTGGGCTCCATGGAGAACCATGGCTCCGTGGTCACACATCTCCTCTCACAAGTCAAAATTGGCATGGATCTCACAAAGGTATACCAAATATAATCCTTTCCAAGTATATCCAAACCAATTCGACTTAGGGGAGAAAAGAGCGTACCAATTTTAAAAGGCCGGCAACGCACTCGCGAGCCCGATGCCAGAGCATTGAGAGTGTCCATGGGCGGCGGTATCACTCAACATCAGCCTCCTGTTCGTTTGCCCTCTATAAAAATATTCTTAAATGTTTAAGACCTAGATTTGAAATATTTAAATTAATTTAGTCTCAAGAATACACATTTAATAGGCCGGCAACGTATAAAAAACCTCCAAAGAACTTTCTTTAATCTAACATTTACGTATAACTAAAATCTAGCTTTATAAAATTATCCGCCTGTGTCTCACTCAGTAAATTCAATAATATATAAATATTATAAATTTTACAAAAAGTGTGTAATGGAGTTCTTAGTTCGTCTATTCCAGACAAATTGATGTCTCTAATTTGATCTATCTATTAACTTTGTTTTCAAAACACGTTTTATATTCGCTAAAACTTGTTTACAACAAACATTATTGTTCTCGCGAATCGTCACCTTATTGTGTTAAAATGCGTATTGTAATGTATGTAGTTGTTTTAAACACATTCATTCGTTTATATTAAATTTAGAAACAACCCCCCCATACAAAAATATATTATTTGAAAACTTTATTTATTTATTTATAGCCTTATATCTGAAATACAAAAATATAAACATTATAACTATTGTTTTTTTAATCTAAGATAAACCGATTCTGTGTGCCTACGGGCAAAGGCCTCCCCCATTGTCCTCCATTTTTAATTTTTTCATTTGAAAACTTAACTTTAAACAAATTGAATATTTATTGCTTAGATTCTTCTCAATCTTTTTTTAGTAAATCTCTACTGTAGCATTACTAGTCCACATCGTATTCCTAACTTTCGTACTAACTGATCTGAAATTATGAACCCTTTTATTAGCTTTGTTTTATTCTATATGTCTAAGTTATTGTATATCTTTTGTAGTTTTCCACTTGCGATTACCATAGCTATTTTTTGTACACTAGTTGCTTGGTTGAGATCGTAGTTATTTTAGTTGTACAATATTTCTGTATTACTACGAAGTGTAAATAAAATAAACAAATATATTTTTGTGAATTTCAGGTTGTTCTTCCCACATTTATTCTGGAGAGGCGATCGCTACTCGAAATGTACGCGGATTCGTTCGCCCATCCTGACCAATTCGTTAAGTAAGTACAACATTATTCACAATACTTCTCAATATACGGATACACTTGTTAGACACACCTTGGTTATTGTTTACCCTCAAATCTTGAAATAACACCCGGGTACCCTTAAAAGGTATTTTTTAGCCAACCTCGGATGTGATTGCTTGACTCCATAAATTTAAGGTAGATGTATAAAAACCTTTTTTTTTCTCTCTAATGTTTTCTTTTTTTTTCTCTCTCTTTAGTTTATAAGGAATTTAAAACTTGTACTGGGGTGTACCCCATCAGGCACCCAGGCTAAACTATTGGGTCTTGACACCTAAACTCAGCAGTTCCTATAGCGAAAGAGTTATTAAGGAACTTACTCAAAATTGAAATTGGGACAGGCACATTCTGGAACTTCCAATAGCGTCCCATCAATGAACTTTTTGTGCCAATCGCAAGGTCACCGATTTTCAAACTGAGATCACTATTGGACTTGTATAGCTAGGGTCTGACTTGCATTCATAATTTAATAAGTAAGCAGTTTCCAGAAATTTACACCTTGCCCCATTAAGAAGATACGGGACTTTATACCATTCTAAAGAAACATCAGTATTACCTTGTATAACTGGTTTTATTCAAAATAAATTATTTTATATTTCTGTTTGACGTTACGTTTGGTTTAACAATTTTGAAGTTTAAGGGATGATAAATCAAGTGACTTAAAAATTTTTATAATAATTTTAGGATAGTGGATATGCCGACACCCAGGGAACGCATGGTACAAGTGGTACGGTGGTACCTAAGCTCGTACCATGCGGGGCGAAAATCACAAGTCGCCAAGAAACCATACAATCCCATACTTGGAGAGGTGTTCAGGTGTCATTGGGATCTCGATGGGGTTGAGCCATCTAATAATGGAGACAAGGTAACGCATTTTAACCCAGAACCCCAGCTCCCTTTACGAGCAGATCGCGTCTATGGTGGGAGAATGTTAAAGTATTACAGTGGCTACCCTACTGACTGCACCAACACTGCAACCAGCTGCCCACTAAAGTATTTCCGAACCAATTGGACTTAGGGTTCCTTCAAGAAAAGAGCGTACTAGTTCTTAAAAGGCCGGCAACCCACTTACGAGCCTTTTGGCAAGGTCAGTGTCCATGGGCGGCGGTATTACTTAACATCCTCCTGAAAAAATCTATAACTAACTAACATTGTAGAATATATTGGAAAGAAGTTAAAATTAAGCTAATCGCTAATATATTGTATTAATCGCTCTAAAATATATTAAATTAAATAAGGTGAGGTTTACATAACTCACGACATGCCTAAACATGGCTGAAAATAACCTTTCATTAGATGTCACATTGACATTGAGCTGTCAGGTGTCAGCCGTGACGCGCCAAATTGTAACTAAATGACAACTAACACTAGTGCGCTGTTTTATCCAGAGTGGTTTAATTTACATGTGTTGACGCGCTACAGACTGTTGGCCTTATGATTATTTGGGTCTAGGTGGACGGAGATTCTTTAAAATGTTTCATTTCATCGGAAATTACAGGTAAATCATAATATTTTTTTCAGGTAGAAGTAGGCGACGGTCCTGTTCCCTGGTGTTCGCCGGAACAATTATCCTTCGTAGCTGAACAAGTCTCCCATCATCCCCCTATCTCAGCCTTTTATGCGGAACACGTCAACAAACGCATCCAATTCGAGGCCTCGGTTTGGACGAAGAGCAAGTTTCTGGGTCTCTCTATCGGTGTCCATAATATCGGCAAGGGATTGGTTACCCTGCTGGATTTGGAGGAAGAGTATACCCTAACATTTCCCAATGGTTATGGCAGGTTAGTACCAACAATTTAAGAGCAGTGTTGGCCTAGTGGCTTCAGCGTGCGACTCTCATACCTGAAGTCGTAGGTTCGATCCCCGGCTGTGCACCAATGGACTTTCTTTCTATGTGCGCATTTAACATTTGTTCGAACGGTGAAGGAAAACATCGTTAGGAAACCGACATGTCTTAGACCCAAAAGTCGACGGCGTGTGTCAGGCATTGGAGGCTGATCACATACTTGCCTATTAGATTTAAAAATGATCATGAAACAGATACAGAAACCTGAGGCCCAGGCCTAAATAGGTTGCAGCGCCACTGGTAATGTTTTAAGCTATTGCATAGATTTTATCGCGGGCTTTGAGCGCGGCGACCGAATGAAGATATTCTGTAACGAAAAAAACCTAACACACGATGACGTAATATAGGTGCGGCAAATACGCGTTAGAGTGGGACAGAACGCATACTGCGCATTCCCATCTCTCTGACGAGATCGGTGACGTAGCGTGAGCGCGGCCGGTGCAGCCGGTACGCGTTAGAGAGAGACAGACTATATAGGCGTTTTAGTCTGAGTCTGGTAGCGTGGTAGATTCAAATAATATTCAAGTAAAAACTTGAATTAATATCAAACAAAAACAAATATTGCGTAAATAAAAAATAAATAAATAATTATAACTGCAATAATTAAACAAGTTGATAAAAAATGCTATGCAATAGCTTTACCGCGGCAGTCCCCGAGTGCCACACTTTTTTTTTTTTAATTTATGTTAGTAGACTACAAATCATCCGAATAACAGGTACCTACTTACGAATAACTGATATATCCTAATTATATTTTGTTTTTTTTTTCAGGTCAATATTAACAATCCCCTGGATAGAACTAGGCGGTTCCGTAGTAATAGAATGCGCGCAAACTGGTCACAAGGCGAACGTGGAGTTTCTTACAAAACCCTTCTATGGAGGCAAGAAACATAGAGTCACGTGTGAAGTGTTCGCTGGTACTGAGAAGAAACCGTATTATACTGCACAAGGAGAATGGAATTCAAGGATGGATGGACGGTGGACTGAGTCTGGGGTGAGATTTTAATTTAACTTTGTCAGGTATTCGGTCTTACCCTTGGTCCTGGTATGAATCAGACAATGCTTCTTTGGTCGTAAAAACCTTATGATAGTCGTAACAGCCGATGACGTTGTTATTAAGTACCTAATACAATAGAATTCAGCCGGGACCTTTGGTTTTGGTCAATATAACTGGTATGTTGTTCTAGATGTATATGTATATTAAATTAAATACAACGTTTTTATTAACAAATGAAATGCAAATATAGCAACGAAAGATGTCTTTTTTGTACCCAACGGGTAACTTAGACATTATTGAATGTTTAAAGTTAGTCGCTTTTTTTTTAGAACAGGGTGCAAACGGGCAGGAGGCTCACTTGATGTTAAATGTTACCCGCCGCCCATGGACACTCTCAATGTGAGAAAGCACGCAATTGCGTTGCCGGCCATTTAGGAATTGGTAAGCTTTTGAAGGACCTTCAGTTTAATTGGTTCGGAAATACTTCAGTGGGCCAATGGTTCAACATAGTGGTGATACGCAGCAGAAACTTACTTAAAAATCGCTCAATTTTGGAACGGCGTTCTAATAGGTTAGGTTAGTTTGAAGTTGAGACAGACAGTTAAAATAAATAATAATAAGCTGTAATTCTACCTACAGCGTAACGAAGTAGTGTTCGATGTGTCGACGATGAAGACGTGTCGCAAGCGAGTCGCGCCGATCAGTCGCCAGTCGCCGCACGAGTCGCGTCGCGTTTGGAGGTACGTCACGGCCGCCTTGAGGGCCGCGGATACGGATGCCGCGACTGCAGCTAAGAGACTGTTGGAGCAGACGCAGAGAGATGCCGCTAAGAAGCGTGCTGATAGCGACGAGGCCTGGGTCACACAGGTAAGTCGCAGTTGGTGCGACCAGTCGCAGTTTTTTATTGCATTGTAATTACGTAGTATGTATGTGGTGAATTTTTAACCGACTTCAAAAAGCAGGTTATATATATATATGTTTGAGCTGTATCTTAATGTGTTCAAATTTGATACTTTGACTTCACAAAACGTGTGCTTCCGTATGTGTTTCCAAATTTTTCGGGTACTGAAAATCTTATCAAAATTATATAAATTAAAAGGCTGTACTCCTATAAACAGTCCTATCGAAATCGGTTTATCAGTTTTTGAGATAAGACTTATTATTCCCTTATTGACAGGGATTTTATATAACTTTTGTACTATTTCAGTTGTTCAGTCCAAAACCGGACGATGGCTGGGAATATAATATGCCGTTAAAAAAACGTATCGAAGGGAAATCATCTCCACAACTCAGTCCCACGCAACGAGATAACGCTGATACAAGATAATATGGACTCTAAAACCATAGAATAAGGTAGATATTCCTACTGTCGAATTGATTAGAATAGTCACGCTAATAACTTCATTGATAGGTCAAATACCTCAATTATTTATAAATTATTTTATAATGGGATAAAGGTGAAAAAATGGCGAGTTTAAATTAAGATTTGATGAAATAAAAACCATGAGTTATATAAAACTATGGATATATTATTTGTATTAGATTTTTCTATAGAATTTTTTTATAGAATACGTGATTTGGTATTCTGTATAGGCCCGGTTTCAATATGAAAATGACAGTTGTAAAACGATTCGTAGTTAATAAAATATTGTATCAATCTCCGGTTTCGATATTATATCCGTTGTAATTGATACGAGTTGTATAATAAAATAAAATTTTGGAGTTAAACTATTGTTTTAGCATTTTGTATGTAAGGTGTCAATATGAAAATAAGAGTTGTAAAACGAGTCGTAAATTTATTGAGCAACAAAAATTATTTCTTTAGAAAAATCTAGCCGCTAAAGCGCATATTTTCAGTAACTGGTCACACTTTTGGTTACTTCATAAAATATATTATAGATAATGTTACTTAAACTTGCCACGTTTATCCTATCAATGAAGTTTGCGATAGTTAATTTTTGACGCACGTTAGGCGCTTAGTTAGTTTAGGAAACTCGGGTTCGCTTATGACATGAAATAATATCATTAATGACATTAATGTCAAATATGATTTTGATGATTATTTCTGAAATTTATCCTGTTAGGAAAAATGTGAGAATTGATAGTTTAAATATCAAAACTCTTTATAAGAATATTGACAACCACATTTGATTATTTCACTCTTAAATTCCCGTTATAATTTTATTTCCTTGTGTTAAAGTGTGTATTGCAATACACAAAAATGTCAGGTTCTTTTTCGGTCTAAAATAGTCACCATACATCAATTGTTTATGAGATAAGATTTTACCGACGGTATCGGTAAATCAATTGTAATATATGTATTTAAAAGTTTTATTTATTCCAATATGGGATTAGACAATTATAAGCATATATTGCATGAAATTCGATTTATAAAACGCACACGCACGGCAAAAAGTCGTTCTGAGGCAAAAGCTTCAATTCGTTTCTCGTCGTTTTCTTACGACGCAAATTAAAAATGTTTACCTTCTCTATATCATGTTATATATGTAAATCAATCGATATTTATAAAATTCTCTTACTCTTAATATGGCCTATCTGTAAATAGATCCGCTATGCAATCAAACATCGAATCATGAATACGCTGAATTCGTTTATTTAAAGTTTAATTCGTTAAGAGAATACTTTATCAATATTTACATGATTGAGAACAAAAAAACACTTGCTGAAGCGTGCCTGGCATTGGACCTTGCTCCTACATTGAAGGCAAACATGAGGAAACCGACATCAAACCCACAAATCGATGTCTAGTTCAGACAAGGTCACCTACATAGATAAAATAGCAATTCAAGAAGCTGTCTTAGGCCAAGACCCATTTAGAGTTATAACGCCACTGATTTATTAGGAGAACAACGTTTTATAATAAACATATTATAATTATCGCGTGACATTTAAAAAGGTCAGTCAATACTCTAATCGCGTAGTCACTGCACGTCGGTGATTTCACTTTGAATGTTTCTAGGGTCTATGGCTTCAGCTGATTTATTGTCATCTGTCAACTGTCACCTTGACACCGAGCAATAGAGATTAGAAACGAATTTCAGTACGATATAGTTCTTCAGTCCTTATTGTCTTTTTCATATCTGATACGTATACACGTACATATTCCTATCTCAAACCACAATGCCGTCTAGAGCGCTGTCAAATATGTCAAACGTCACACAGAAAAATGGTTTGACAGCTCTTGTAGCTGGATTTAAGTTTGACGTTCTAGAATATGGACTTGAAGTTAGCGTTTGGTGTCTGTCCACCACGATCAGTTCGTCTTTGTTCTCATCGCTTCAGTTCCGATATAATCAGACATGTAAATATTGATAACACACGGCTTATGACTTCAATAAACAACTTTTAGTTTACGATGTGTATTCTGGAAAGTTCCAATTTCACTAAATACAATATATGTATATGAAATGACTTTTTTTATTTTAGAAGTTTAATATTGCTTTATAGCGAGATTGATAAAAATGTCTTCTCTACTTAAATACGATGTAAAAAGATTTTGCATTAATGTATCAAACTTGCCATAAAGCCCCTATTAATATTGTAAACCAATTAATTAATTTAATAAAAAACAAATTGTGTCGGTTTTGTATTATTATTTTACGATTTTATTTTTTGCGCTTTACGCATCACATTGTCACTATAAATTTATAATCTTAAAATATTTTCTTAACACAGAAATCTATGGAAACGTGCACCTACAGTTTTTACAATCCGATTTTTCTCGTACTAATTCCACACGAAAACGATACGATTTTTGACTAGAGTTCAGACATTTAGGACCTCATAATATAGGTCTGTACCAAACCAAATTAAATTAAATCGGATGCACTATCGTATCGGAGTCGTCTGAATATTTTGATTCGCAAAGTGACGTACCCTCTAGTGAAAAAGACTGAAAAATACGTGCTGCGGACACATTCGGAACATTCACATGGACCTGTATAGCTATAGCTACCATGTTGTACATTTAAATAAAATACAATTAAATTATTTATAGTTGTTTTATTTTTGTGGTTTAAGAAAACAATAAAATCGCGAAATATAAGTGGTGTAAATGAATTTTGACTTCCAAACAAATTAACATTTCGATTTAGGTCTTTTCATCAAACTGAATGCTCTATCCATAGTCGACATCTTTTCGCAAGCAGTGCCCTGTATTAGCTTGGATGTCGGGGCAGAGAGAACCCTAAAGTTAACCTCATTGTTGTCCATAGAGTCGTAGAGGAAACGAGATTGTCTATTGCTTAGTATCCAAAGAGTACCTTCTTGGTCTACCTGTAAAAATGTATTACAATTTAGGTATTATAGAATGGTGGTCTGTTGAAATGTTAACGTGTTAGAGTTTTGTAGATATTAAGTAATTATGTATCAAATCAAGCTAACCTGCGGGGGATACAATATTAGGATCAATATACCTTTAAGTCGTTTGGAAACTCCAACACAGTACAGTCGCTCAGAATAAGCGGCACGTTGTCTTCGTTAAGTGGTTTCTCTGTGTTCCAACAACTTATACCATTTCTGTTCAACTGTAATAAAATTCATTGACCATAATATTTTGCATAAAGTATTTTTATTGTTTTGTTTTAAGTGTAACCAAATTTACTTAGTCTCAAGACTAATAGAAAATTATAAATCAGCATTTTTAGATACAAAAATCGATAACCACAGGTACTAAAGACTGATTATTGTTCTATTGTAACAATTTTTATATATTTTAGAGCTTTGCAATCAGAACAGTTCTTACTAGTGTTTCCAGCTCTATAAATAAGAGTTATAGTACAACACGAAGAAGCTGTTTCGACGCTTATTGTGTTCTTTCAAACATTCAAAACTTAATCTACTCGTAAGTTTGAGGTGGGAAATAATTATTTGTTGGTTACGTAGTCATCGCATCTCAAACTCAAAATAACTTTATTCATATTGGTAAACAATTACACTTATTAACGTCAGAAAAGAAGTTAAATTAATTCTAAATTTACATTTATTACCAGTTCGCAAGTCAGGGGCGTAGAGCGGGCAAGAAGAACTGCCAAGAAACTCTCTGCCACTCTCTTTAACCGCTAAGTTTTGAGTCATACAAATTGTTTGAACTGGAGCAAATCAATCCCATGGATTATCATTTAAATATTTGTCAAATTTATAAAAAGCTTAATAGATTTATTTACGTATAACGAAATATTTCTGTTCTCACCTGGGCGTAAAATATTACATTATTCAGAGGGTCAAAATCAGTAGCTGTTGCCTGCGAGAGGGGACCTCTATCTCCTACAACCTAAATAAAGAATTTGATAATTAAATTAATATCACCCTCAGAACTTATTTAAAATAAACCTTGTTGACACTAAGATTTTGTATGCAAATTTATTCTTGACGTAAGTGAGTCCCGTCCCTGTATCTTACCCTAAGGTGCTTATTGCTTGGTGGGATGCAGACAAGGCTACCGGCTACGGTGTTACTGTATCCTAACTCGGGCGATTGCTGCTGGTGCCGTGGGGTTTTAGTAGATATGCAGAGCGAGTCCCACATAATCACAAGACAGTCGTGTCGCGTGAGGGTAATGGGTATGCGTAAAGCATTTCCCCAAAAACAATGCACTTGCTATGTTTCAAGATGAAGTAATTAAACCTGCTGCTGCTACGATATATGTTAAATAATAAAGTAAAAAGTAATGTATTATTTAGCAAAAACAGCAGCACTAGAGTACTACAGTTATCACTGAGGCCGTAGGTTCGACCCCCTGTTGTGCGCCGATGGACTTTCTATGTGCGCATGTAACACTCGCTCTGTTACATGCCTAAAATGTCAAGTGTAACGCTGACTCATTTGAATAATTATACGTCAGCAGTTAATAAATAGTAAAATTATCGCAAATCGACAACAGTTAGTCTGCTGTGAACATTGTTGCATATTATTAATAAATAAAGTTTCCTTTTATAACGGTGAAGGAAAATATCGTGAGGAAACCGGTATGCTTTAGACCAGTGTTTCCCTACGTTTTTTGGGTCAAGCCCCACCTAAGTTTTTCTAATTATCTTAAGCCCCTTTGTAACATACATAATTTTTATATTAAAAAATGGAATTTTTCACTTAAGAAACTTAAATGATGTTTTAGGAAGAAATCGCTAGAAAGTTGTTAGCGAAACACAATAAGTAAAATTTCCAAATATAGAACGTAAAGCTTAAATTCCAAATAATTTTGGAATAACGCCCTTAACAGTCAAATTTCCCCCTTGTGGGGCGTGGGCATTGGGAAACTGCTTTAGACCCAAAATGTCGACGGCGTGTGCCACACAGAAGGCTGATTACCTGCTTGTCTATTAGAAAAAACAAATTTGAAAACCTGAGACAGGTTCACAAGTCTCAGGCCCAGACTTAAAAAGGTTGTTGCGCCACTGGTTTTTCTTAAATTTAAGATTCCATAGATATACTATAACATTAACTATTGAAATATACTCAAATACTTACTTCTGCTCCACTGAATATGTATTCTTTTGGAACGTATTTGTCTTTCAAAAACTTCGTGGATATTCTAAATTGTTTAGTACTCGATGTCGGGTGGAAGTATAGGTCCCGATGCCTAGAATAATAAGACAGTTTTAGAAACACTTGTTTTGCTTATACTGGGGGTTGATCCATCAGTTTGCAACAGACGTGATCCACTATCGCCAAACGATTTTGTATATAAATGGTCACGTGACAAATCGTGACCTAGTGTCATTCTCATAGGTGCTTAAGACCCGTTTTGTTTAAATTGATCAGCCCTCTACCTAGTATATCAAGCTCTGAGTAGCGTTTATTATTTTGTCGTGAAGAATTCTAATAAGAGTTTCCATCGATATGTTGAAGCCAACTAGCTTAATAAGCCGTTCAATTAACAGCCTAGCCTTTTAATTAAACAGCGCCGTTTACCTTGCGGTCTGATTGATATTCACCGTAGCGTTCAAACATCTGACATAATAATATTTCTTTAAAATAAATTGCTTGAGTCAGTCACAGCTTAATACACACTATTATTGTCATTACACTCTTCCATTATACTTGTTGTTTTTCATTAAACTTTGGAAAACACCATCAAAGTTGTGATTTGCCGCCATATTGACAGTTTCGTTTCAAGCTTGAGAGTGGCAGAAAGTGGAACTAATTCTAAATTTAAATGATCAGTCAACAGGCTAGGCAAGTAGTGAAACGTCAACGATCCAATTCATTTGCCTAGGTGTTTAATGAACTGGCTCAATATCTTTCAGGCCGCTAGTTAAACGGCACTGTTTAGTGTTTAGTTAAGAGGCTAGAACTAAGCTAGTTGGGTGCGAGAGATATATAACGTTTTATTTATGTGTGATTATTACCCACCCAGATTTCTTCGAAGGCGATAGCACAGCTGAAGACACGCCATCATTCCAAAAGAACTCGATTCCTCCCACTCGATATACGTTTGAGAGTGGGTCAAAGTGAAAAAATGGACATTCCACTCGCCACGCGTCGTCTTTACTTAAACTGAAGACCAATAGAGCATTTGAACCCATATCGGGGATATAAGCGAATGCGTCACAGTTTTTGCCTACCAATTCTACCTCCTGAAATTTTATTTATAATAATAGACAAAACAACAACGAAAAATTAGTATCAATTGTCAGAATTCTACAACTTAATTTTATTTAGAAATTTTTAACTATTATTGAATTTAATATAACATAACAGTAAAGTACGGAAAATGTATTCGTGAATTTAATATAATATATAAAATGGTAACAAGCACTTTTCAGCAATCATGGTGCAAGACTACTTGATTGATTTACGTAGCTGGTTATATGTATATAACCCTTAACACTCGGGACCTTTTTCGCTTGCACGAACCGTCAATTCGAGTAGATTTTGGTAAACATCTTACAGGTTCTTTAAAAAGATTTATAAACAAACAAACGTATAAATTAGTATTGGTGTGATATATAATGAAACAATAGCCAAGATGCATCATAGGTTAATCAGGACACGTATCACAGTAATACGAAATTTCCCGCCGACCTCCAGCCTTGTTACAAAAAAAAATAAAATAAAGCCTTGTTGTTTTCTAATTTACAAAATGTATGAATTGACCAGGGAAATGTAAATGCCCCAAAAAAATCTTACGCCTTGTAAGCTCGTTATCACACTTGACGCTTTTAAGTTGATGATTCAAATAGGCCGAGCACATTGGCGCCGCTCCAGTGCAGTTGATAAATATGTACAAAAAACGTTAATTTATGAACCCACCACGCTTGTCAACACCGACGAATCCCTGAGCTCCTCGTCTTTAAACTCGTAGCGATGCAGCAGTTTATCGGTGTTCAAATCAAAAATTAAAAGAGCTGGAGGAGCAATCTGCTTTACTCCACCTAAAATTAAGAACAAACAGAAATAATAATTACCTCGATTGTGGTTTAGTAGACTCCAGGCACCAGAAGATAAGCCAGTCATTATATGGAAATTGTATTCGTTATTACAACAAACTCTCAAGCGAAATTAGAGAATTATCACTAAATAAATTCAAAGCTCTCGTTAAACGTAAATCAACCAATAAAGCTGTTTATAAATTTGACGAATATTTAAATGATCCTAATCCTTGGGTTCGATTTGCTCCAGTTCAAACAATTTGTATGACTTAAAACTTAGTGATTAAAAAGAGTGGCGGAAAGTTTCTTGCCCGCTCTACGCCTTTGACTTGCGAACTGGTAAGTAGTAAATGTAAATTTAGAATAAATTTAACTTCGTTTCTGACGTTCATAAGTGTACTTGTTTACCTATATGAACAAAATTATTTTGAATTTGATTTAGATTCGCAAATGTCAGCAATATATTTTAATTTGTTATGTGGCTTTCTTACAAAATAGTTGAGAGATCCAGAACTTTCCTATTAATAACAATAAGTTATCCAATCGGGAAACCAAATTAACGTTGACTTGACCTGACTGTAATCAACGAGCGGTTCTAATCGTCAACGACCAGTTACTTTCCGAGCAGCTTGATCCCTTGGCGTTAGATATGGGGATATATCTCTCTGAATCTTCTACCGCATTTACCACGGAGAGATTTCAGAAGATTTGTTCAGATTAATATCTGCTGAGTTTGATCAACGGATGTCGAGACTCGAGGCAGTATACGAAATTTCACCTGTATCACCTCGTCGTTCCACAACTGAGGCACAACTTATTTCAGGCAGTTTTGCCGAGCGCCACCACTATGTGGAACCAGCTACCTTCAGAAGTATTTCCGAACCAATTTGACTTAGAGTTCTTCAAGAAAAGAGGTTACCGTTTCTTAAAAGGACGGCAAGGCACTCGCGAGCCCTGTGGCATTGAGTTTTTTATAGGCGCCGGTATCACTTAACATCAGGTCTCTCAGGTAACAACGGTATCTCGAGCCCACTGTTCTAAAAAAAATATCTAAACGCTACACTCTATACGTGAAAACATACTCGACATATCCGCAACTCCATTGTCGACAACCCACAGTCTATCACATTTATCCACTTGAACTCGGAAGGCAGACACAACAGTTTTGTTGGAAGCCACACAGCATGCCTTGTTTGATACGAAGGCATCCTCCCAGCTCGGGTAAGGATTTAGCGCCTGGATTTGGTTGCCGTTTATGTTTATATAATTTAACGATGCTGGTACTCCTAAAATGATTGTATATTTAAAGTAGGTAGGTATCACAAATTTCGCTTTTAATCATGTCTACGTCTTAATGATAAATATGATATGAAGTATTTTATTATATAACGTGCTTTAAATGTTATATTTACAGTGGCGGATTTACATATTTTCAAGGTATAAGGGAGCGTTCAAGTATTACGTAACGAATTTTGGGGGGAGGGGGTCCTTATGTAAAACGTTACGATGCGGAGCGAGGATTGAATTATAGTAGACCGAGGCGAATCGGATCACTTTTTCTTTGAGGTTGAGTAAATCATACTAAAGTGCTATATAATGTTATTTTTATTGATAAAATCGTAAGAAGTAACAATTACCTATGAAATAAATATTTGAAAACTTAAATCATACATATATTCTCTTAATTAGCTATTAAAAACTAAAAAAAGGAAAATATCCGATTCGCCCCAACTTTCGGGGGGAATCGGATCGTGCACAAAATATAACAAAATTTTAAGGTATAGTATTAAATAACTTTGGAATCAGTAAAAATATATTATATAATAATAAGATCAACTTTAATTATTGGCACATAATTCACATATATATTATAGTCCTTTTTTTCTGTTAGCTCGTGAACGGTACTGAAAAACTCTTAGCAGCTTTACGCAAGGTCAACTCTTTGTTCTGGACTTAAATTACAGCCTCTTTCATTTTTTCTTGACACCATTCTCCGGTGGTCATGAAATAAATATGAATCAATAACCTCAAACATGTAATAAATCAGTTTAAAAGTATCATCCAATTCGCCCCTAAGGATATGATCCGATTAGCCCCATAATTAAGACTTTTGAAATAAATATTTTAGACGTCAACCTCTAAGATTATACTTAAAAGCGAATTGGTTCTTCAATATTAACACCTTGCTTGCAATATAAACCAATGTAGTTAAATTATAAAACAAATCCGTCATATGACACAAAGAAATCGTAAGTACGTAACCTTAGATGAGCGCCAAATTGCGACACACACAAAAAACCGAGTGGCTGACGAGCGGCATTGCCACTGATCCACAAGCGCGATCGAAATGCTGCTTATGTCGGGAGGTGCTCAGTAAATGGAGAGACACAAAACGCCGGTTGAGTGCGTTCTATGTGAATGTGATATTTGAATCATCAACACATTTCTTATTTTGATCCGATTCGCCCTGTGATCCGATTCGCCTCGGTCTACCCTACGCGTTATTTTTAATATTATTTTTGCCTTTCCAGTACTTTACACCACATAATGGTGGTGGTCACGAAACGTTTTACTATACTTGGGTACAGGAAAACGTTACGGCGCGTTACATGGGGGGGGGGTCAAAAATCTCCAAAAATTGCGTGACGTAATACTTGAACGCTCCCTAAGCTGTGAAGTTTTTGCCGCCTTTGCCTCTACAAAGGTCCTATATTATTTTTACAACACAACAATTGCGTTGAAATTGCATTTTTGGATAAGATTCAACCATCAACCAGCAGTAGGTATGATATGTATGGGTTGATAGGGGGAAGAAGGAAATACATTTTCTGCAATTTCGATCTTTTCACTCGTACAAAGTGTAAGCTGAGGGCGCAGAGGTCGATTACTGGTAATATTGAACTTTGCTACACAGAATGTACAATGACAAGTTAGAGGGGACGGTCATCGGCAAAATTTGTTACAGACTTCTATCTGTAAAACACCAGAAAATCATCATGCAGAAATGTTTTTGATTTCTGTGAGGTAGCAAAAAAAAATTCGGTTACCAAATTTGCCGCCCCAAAAATCTGCCGCCCTAGGCTCCAGCCTACTCAGCCTGCTGGTAAATCCGCCACTGTAATATTTATATATAATATATATATATATATATTTTAAGTGTTATCCTTTATAATAAAATCTCCCAATCTATGGATTCTGAGATAGTCAAACTATTCAGATATAAACTTACAAAACATAAAAATTATGCTAGCCGAATTGGATTTCGATTCAACAGCCTTACTACGTATTTTGGCAAGACTCTGAGGTTCCAAAAACTAACACAGACACAGCGCACGCTTATAACAACTCACATATATGGGTCATAAACAGAACATTTAAAAAATGTGTGCGTTGTCTCAAAATTAACTTAAACAATGTAAACCAGCCATATTATTACCTTCAATTATTTAATATTAGTACATATAACTGACGCGCATGGAAATTTTTACATTCGTATTATTACTTTTAAAAATATTAAAATAAAAACAGCCTTTTGGTACCTTTCCGTGGACCGTTTCCAGCCTAGATTTCGAACTTCATGATCAAAATTAAAATGTAATAATTTAAAATTTGAAATACATAGCCTTTTTTATCTATTATTCATATAATCAAAATATCGTTTTCCACTATACATAATAATTAAACCAAAATTCCTTCGAATTATGATACATAAACAAATTGTTATCGGTACCGCCACTCCTTCCGTGGTCCAAATAAATTTGATTTTGAAGAGTCGATAATTGGAACGCAACCTTAGAATATTTATTTTAACTGGCAACATTCAATCTGTCAGTTCAAGTATAGCTTAGTCCATGCGGTGTATGCAAGCGCTCCGTCATTAAAAATACAAATCTCGCCTATTAGTCATTGTTTTACTTTAATGTCAAAGATGGTTGCGACTTTTCTGTGACTTCTATGGTACGGTAAGTGTTTTATTGAAATATACGTAAATCTATTTATAGCTATTGTTACTGGCGTCCATTGACAAAAACAAGGTGCGTTATGAGCTAACCTATAAATGTCACGTATTATACCGCTTGTTTTGATTGGTTTACCCTTCCGTGGACAAACTTTTCTGTGGAGAGTCACTCTTGTGGACGTAGTCTTTTCTGTGGACTCTGCCACAGAAAAGTCTGTGTCCACAAGAGTGACTCTTATTGAAACTTAGCATGCTTTTTCAAAACATATTCTGTGACTTTTTTATTTCTTTTTGCCAATATTATGTTGCATTAACCCATTATGTTTGTTTAATGCTTAGCCTGGTGTGTATGTGGTTCATTGTAATTGTATCAGCAAATCAAGATGCCTAGAACAAGTAGAATTAAACATCTGACTGATGAAGTAAAAAAAGATAAGACGTCGTGAACAAAAAATTAAGTATGCGCCGAGCACGGGCAAAATTAACTGAAGCTGCTGTTGAAGAGATACGCAAAAAAGATAGAGAAAGGTACCATAAGAAAAAGGACAGAGGAGAAATCAAAACTATCGATGGTTATACACCCAGAAAACAGCGACAAATAAGAAAAATGTGGCGTAAAAAATCAAAGAAACGACGACAATTACTAAAGATGCGAAAAGCTACCAGCGCTCTCATACAAGAAAATACTCCACCATCGAGTCCATCTTCATCATTCTCCCGAATTGAAGTCGGACGTGCAGTAGCTGCTCGGAACAAAAGAGAAAAAAAAGCTGAAAATGAAACTTTAAAGAAAAAGGTATTACATATGGCAAAACAAATAAAAAAAAGAATGCGAATACGGAGGCTAGAAGAAAGAAAGCAGAAAGCGTCGAATGTGGCTAGTCCTAAAAAGAAAGTCTTGAGAACAAACGTCAGAAAAGATGTGCATAATTTTTTAATACAAGATGAATACAGTAGATTAACATCAGGGAAAAATGAGACAATAACCCGGAAGAAAAGCAAACGGCAAATTCGTCTACTGAATGACACACTCTTAAACTTACATGTGATATTCCAAAGCAAAACAGGGATCAAGATTTCATATCAGACCTTTCGTAGATATCGACCTTTTTGGGTATTGTTTCCGAAAACATCAGCAAGAAACACGTGTCTTTGTGCTTTGCATGAAAATAATGATCAAATAATTTGATCACTTCAAAAGGCGAAAGTTGTCACTTACCGATCTGCTTCTGATGCTGTTAAGGTACTGTGCTGTAATAATACACTGAATCCTAAATGTTTAGAGAGAGAGTGTCAGAGCTGCCGAAATAAGAAACTTGTGATTAATAATTTTAATGAAAACGATTACATTGCTTATGATAGATGGGTCACTAAAAATGTAGATGTAATTATCAAAGGCGAACACAAAAAATACAAGAAATGTTTGAAAGAAACTGTTAAAACTATGAAAGACTCTCTAGTGAAGTTATTACATTCTAATTTACCGTTATTACATTCTAAATATGATTCATCAAATAAGATCAATCCAAACAGTTAAACAACAATTAACTTCTGCTGAAGGCCTATTGCATATAGATTTCTCAGAAAATTATCATTGTAAATACAGCGCTGAGGTTCAGTCCGCTCATTTTGGTGGTTCTAAGCCTCAATTGTCTCTTCATACTTGCGTTTACTAGAGCAATGCTGAATCACCTAATAATGGTTTTCAAACTATGTCTATGTGCTCTATCTCAGAAAATTTGCGTAATGATCCTGTGATGATCTGTGCTCACCTAAAACCAATCTTACAGAGAATCAAAGAAATTAGTCCGAACTTAACAGAATTACACATATTAAGTGACGGCCCAACAACGCAGTACCGAAACAAAACTATATTCTTTTTAATTGTAAACTTCATAAGCCAAGAATTAAATGATGTCAACAATATTATATGGCACTACAGTGAGAAAGGTCATGGCAAAGGTGCCCCTGACGGAGTAGGTGGTTGCATCAAAAGGCTATGTGACAATTCAGTCGCAATGGGTAAAGACGTCCCTGATTATGATTATCTTATGTTTAAAAGAAAATTGTAAAGGTATAGAGATTTACGGAATAGGAGATCCAAATGTGCAAGATATTCAAGAAATGGTCGCCAAAAATAACATGAATGCTTATAAAGGGACATTTAAGATTCACCAACTTTCTTGGAATCGAAGCGAACCAAATATTTTACATGTAAGGAGGCTTAGTTGTCTGTTTTGTGCTACAAATGCAGTTTGTCCACATTTTGAAATGAGTCAGATAAAGGTGCCAGCCGCTGATACGCGATCACATAGTCCCGTGAGTTTAGCTGACGCAAACATATCTCCGAGAAGTGTAGACATAGCCAATGTTTCTACAGTTACTTATAGGTCAAATGTGGTTACACCGGAAGAAGAAACAGTTTCTTAGGATCCCCCTTCACGTCCCTATAAGAGATCGAGGTTCCTATCAGACTCTGATGATTCAGATGAAATTTTTTCCTCTACAACGTATTCATCCATTACGCACAGACGGCAGCGATGAAGACGACTTGATTTTACAACCTCAGCAGGCTAAAATACCATTTTTCAATCCCTTCTCTGACGACGAAGATGACGAACCTATATTCTAGCCTACTTCTAGCATACTATAAGCGACGACGTTTATAACACGCTAGAGTATAGTTTCGTCATCTTATGTTTTATGATCTCATTTTTTTCCTCAATTAATTTGTAGCTGAGCTCAGTTTGATTGATAGTAATATTTAATTAAGAGTCGACCGAAAAGAAATCTCTTCTGTGGACATAAAATAATTATTTTTTTTTAAACTAGAGGGTTTATTTTTTTTATCTCATTTTTAATTTGAAGTAGTATAATACAACCAGATTATAATGATTTTAAGAAATATATCATTTTTAGTTTAGTTTTACATAGCCAAAATACACATTTTATCTTTTCTGTTGATTTTGTTGTCTATTCTGTGGACAGTTAATAATTAAAATATCTAGTTATTAGTACAAATTAAGGCTTCGATCTCTGAGAATATTTTTACCATGATTATTTTATCTTTTTTCTCAATAAATGCTGATTTAAACCAAAAAAAAACCACTTTTTATTTTTTTATTTTTTTCATACTAGATTTGTTTATGACCCATATACGCAGACATACCCATTCACATACTCACACATTCACGCTTAGATTAATGTCTTATACGACTGGTGTTTGATTAGTTGCAACACTAAGGCTATGTTCACATGTAACGCGCGTTAACGCACGTCAACGCGCGATCACATTTTAAGAGAGTTCAGATGATGAGCGCTAATGCGCGTTGCGAGAGTACTCGTCAGTCTAGTTCAGTAGAACGTAGAAAATGGACGTGGAAGAGGCTATTATTTTGTGGTTATATTGTAAAGAAAAATATAGAAAAAGAAAACGTACACATTGGGTTCATCCAATTTTGAAAAATAGACCCAGTTTGTTATAAATATAATTACGATAATTAACAAAATTACATGCGATAGCGATGAAAGCGCGCGCTCAACTGAACAGCAAACGGACATTACATTAATATCAAAGCGTGCGTCAACGCGCGATCACCTTCGTCTAGAGACTTTTTCTCTGAGCGCCGCTTTAACGCTCGCTAACACGCGTTAACGCGCGCTCATGTGAACAGTTGTATAAAAATACCACAATGTCTAGTCGCGCGATTTGAAAACGCGCGTCAATTTTTGCCATCTGAACATAGCCTAAGAGTACATTTTCTTCAAAAAACTAATAAGATTTACCACCAAAGTAGGGGACATTTAAAAAAAATAATAATAAGGCAATTGAAATGGCGCTAGACCGGACGCATGACGAGAGATAGCAGGTGGAAATGGACAAAAATTATTAAGAATAATTCCCATGGAAAAAGGAAAAGAGCAAGAGATGGGCAGACGATATAAAGAGAATAGGAGGCATAACTTGGACAAGAAGAGCTAACATTAGAAAATAATGGAAGCAGCTAGGAGAGGCATGTGTCACAGGACACGCTGGTCACCAAAACCTGCACATCTGTTGTATAAGATTAAGTAAAGTTATGCACCTAAAACAAATGTTTATTAAATATTATTCTGGGTGTCAACTGTCAGCAATAAAGGCTTAATAATATACCACAGAATAATTGTAATCTAGTTACCCACAACACAGGGGACTAAACATGAATTTTGTCACACCTTATTTCTGTCATGAATAAAGTTTTTATTTATTATTTTATATACGAGACGTAGAAATAAAGTATGTTCCTTGTTAATTTTGCGTACAATGGTATCACCGTCTAAAGCCTTACCTTTTTTCCATCTTGGAATAGTTATAAAAAGCTTGTTTTTCCATCGTGCTATGCCCGCTGGCATATTATTTTCGGGAACATAAGCGCCTGTAGATATCGCTGCTTCGCGGGCGGATTCGTCCCATGAAAAATCTATAACTTTCCATTGAAATGATGGAGGCAACAGACATCTAACAATTTGAAGGCATGTATTCAAAGCCAACAAAACTATTACGACTCTCATGTCTGAAGTAATCAATAAAAAAGTTTGTGTTTTATTATTCAAAAATATACTAGAATTTCCTTAGGTATATGTTTATTTCATGTTTTGCTTAGTTTTGCTATTTTTGAAATTCGAGCCATTTCTTTGTTGATTAATGTGTAATTGACAAACAGTTAATATGACATAATTTTACCACAACAGAATATATAAAAGAAAAATACTGTGATATTGTATAGCTTTACCAGAAATAAATAAATTATTTTATTTATATATTCACGGCATTTTCACGAAGGGGTAGGCGGAGACCACGGATCTCCACTTGCTCGGTCCTGACATGCCTCTCTCACTTCATCCACTTTCGTGGCATTCACCATGCATGGACATCGGTTGGAAATTATTAAGTTGTCCCTTCTTTAGTACCTCCTGGATTTGGTCCAGGTATGTCCAACAAGGCCTACTCAACCCGACTTCACCGTCCACGGTTGGCTAGTATATCTTAGTTCTTACTTGTAAGCTGCTTCTCAGTCGTCCATTGTAGATGGTGCAATCCCTTTCGTATCATTGCAACTACGTCCTCTTTTAACCCACACTACTCACGTATCTCACTATGACTTATCATATCACGCAATGTTACACCAAACATACTTCTCACACGTACTTCGTAGATTCACCTCGGGATAAGCACTTCCCTATATACATAGGGAATACGGTCAGTTGAGCCTCATTTGAGATTTCATGGCTAGACATTAAAGGAATGCAACGCCCTATTTAAGTCATACTTTCGTCCAGTGTACACCCTAAGTACACCAATTTGTTCCACTATTTACACACATAGGTACATATTAATAATCCTTTACCTCGTACATATACATGAAGGATGATGCCTACACCCTCGCCCTTCCACTTACTCTCATTCGCCTCATTCGCATTCGTACCTTCCATCATTTCGCACGCCTCATGTATTTTCTTATAGGTACTTATTAAAATTTGTAAAACGGCTCTCCACGTACCGCTTCTCACCCATTCGTGAAACGCGAATGCCGTTATTTAATAACACAAGCTATAAATACTATATGTAATAGTATTCAAAAATAACGCGGTTATATATGAAGGTTTATTTAAGTTATAAGCAGTCATTAAGTTATAAGAGTAATTTTACCGTAACAACTAAAGTGCAATAGACTCGTTATATTATTACCATAAAATATAACTGACAACAAGTAAGTAATATAACATACTTAGTATTAAGTTCGGCTAACGAGCACGCGTATCCAGGCGATGTAAATAAATTTAATAAAAACCTAAGCTTACTTCATGGAGAATGAAAGGAAAGATAAGTCTAACACTTCAGAAATAGTACTCTTTGGCTGATAAATCGTCGAACAAAGTACAAAATATTATGTCGTATTTCGTAGTATAACTAAAACGAATGCAGCGCCTAGTTATTAGTCAGTTGTCAGCCAACGAAGTGATTATATACTCGTTGTCAGTTGTCACTTTTCGTTTCTTTAAATTCGACTTCTTGATGTTCATTGATGTTTAATGAAATCAATTAAATGAGAGTTCAGACTTCTTCATCGATTGGTCCTAACAAGCAACCTTGAATAGCTTAACTGTGCGGTCATTGTTAATTACGTGTTAAATAGATATGATCCTTTAACAATGTCGAAGGATGCTGCTACTGGACCTGATGAATCTGCGGCAGCTATCGAACAAATAATTGAAAAACGTGTTGGCTGTGCCCATTATAAACGTCGAGCAAAATTCGTGGTGAGTATCTCAGTAGTATAGCGTTCCTTTATTACACTGATAAGGTGTACCACTTACTGTGTTGCAAACACAGTGTCTATATTTATCCAAAGAAGACAGAAGTTTCGAGTCATGGTCTTTATGATACGCAATCTGCAGTCGGCTCTACGCAGATTTACAAAACAAAGCAAAGTCATTGAACTTGAACCTTTTAAGAATGAGATTATATCCATTAATAACATCAACCTAATTTGCTAATACACTTTTTATGTAGGGTTTAAATCATCAGTGAATGAATAACCGTTACCGATTTCTAAATTGTTACCAAAGATATGCAGATGCTATAAACCTATAATATTCTATGCCTTATCTCTTTGTGTTAAGCATTGCATGGTTTTTATAATTATTACCCTTTAATATTAATACACTAGAGATGTATGTTCTATGGTATCTGTTCCAGACACCCTGCTGCAATAAGTTGTACATGTGCCGGTACTGCCACGATGAGAATGAGGAGCACTACTTCAACCGTAAGTCGGTGACTGAGCTGATCTGTATTGAGTGTGACACTCGGCAAAAAGTCCAGGCTGAATGTCAAAATTGTGGTGTACGGTTTGGAAAGGTATAAAAATTTGAATATTTTAAAGGTTTGTGATTTTTATTGGTAAATTTTAATGTAAATAAATTTTGTGTTTTTAAAGATCTCTCTATAAACTTGAGTAGGCATGTTAATATAAGTTGCAAGCAGTAAAGCGTTAATTTATGTTTTTTCTCTCCATTGTATATTTTCAATTGGATCTTTCCACCTCATACACCCTATAAATTTCAGTATACATGCCTCATTTGCAACCTGTTTGATGATGAAGACAAGAAGCAGTACCATTGTGATGGCTGTGGAATTTGCCGTGTTGGTGGCAGGGACCGATTCTTTCATTGTGAGAGATGCAATATGTGTTTACCAGTGCAGTTGAAAGAAGTTGGTCATAGAGTAAGTACTACCAAACTATTTAAGGCCTAAATATTTTTTCCTCAAATGAACAACTCTAAACTCACAGTTAAAGGATTATTATAACGTCAATATCTGTATACAACGTATACGGAAAAGTTTGAGAGAAATAAATGTTGCTATACTAAATATCAAATCCTTTTTGTGAGAGCTCAAGCATATACTATAAATATTTTAGAGATAAGAGTGTTCTGTTTCCAATATTTATAATGTTTCTTATTTCAGTGTGTAGAAAATGTGTCTCGTGCAAACTGTCCAGTGTGTCTTGAAGATATTCACACATCTCGAATACCATGCCACATCCCAGATTGTGGACATTTGCTCCACCGACCATGCTTTGAGGAAATGTTAAAGTCTGGTCATTACGCTTGCCCTACATGCCAGACTAGCATGATTGACATGTCGACAGTAAGTATTACATCTTTTTTTAATGAAATTAAAACAACTGTATCTTGGCTTATAGGTTCATGCATTTGTCTAGACGTCATCTTACACTTGGGTGGGTGGTTGATTCTATCATGGCCATAAATATTTCTTTCAAGGAAGAAAAAGGCACAAGCCTCACAAGAGAAATGGTCAATGTAACAAACCTAGAAATTAGTCTAACCTATTTTAAAATTATGATTTTAGTTATGGAAATATCTGGATTCTGAAGTGGCAGCCACACCTATGCCTCCAGAATATGCAGATTATAAAACAACTATACTATGCAAGGATTGTCATAAGGTAGTAACAGACTACTTTTTTAAATTAACGATTTCAATTGAGTATAAAAAGTCACTTCACTTCACTTCACTTTATTTATAATGGCGACATCTGTGTAAATCACAATTCCGCCAATGTCACGTTCTAAGTCTTCACACAGTGAGGATAGATTTGATAATTTTGATAGATTGAATTTTATCTAAGCAGAGTTACCCAAAACAAAAATGACATCACAATAAATACAACACACACAGACATCTAATAATATATACAAGAGGTATATAAAAAGTCTACTGGCACTAAAATACTAGTTACTAGAAGTGGCTTATTCTGTATAGAATCAAGTATTTTCTATATTCTTTTTATTCAATTCTATATCTTATCTTTGCTATTCTTGTATACTTAAAGCATTATGTGCATCGAAAAGTATTTCTGTGACTGAACTTAACGCAACATTATTTCTTATTGTAGTTATCAACTGTGAAGTTCCATGTGGTCGGCCTCAAGTGTCAACACTGTGGTGCATATAATACTTGCCAGACTAATGGTTTTCACAGGTAAGTAGATTATTTAAATCAACCCTGACATTTTCACTAATAACAGTTTCCCAAAATTACATCCTCGGATAATTTAATTAAGAAATATTTAAAAGAAATCTATACTCAATAGAGATTTATTTGGAGAAAAATTATTTTCCCTCTTGAATAAAATATTAATGGTCTACTCAAGAAGAATCCAGATTTAGACCAAAAATTAATTGTAGTTCTAAAACAGGATCTTCTGACAGTGAGTTCTAGAATTTTGTAGTTAAAAGTTGCTAACATAACCACCAGATATTTTTATTGCCTATTAATTTATCCAACAAAAGTTGTGTTAGGTGTAAATATCATTACTCAATATGATTTTAATTAATCAGAGATGCGGGAACATCTGAGCAAGTAGACTCTGCCACTTCATCGACAAGCCGAAGTGCTTCAACATCGACACCGACAAGTCGACGTGGTTCCTCGTCCTTCGAGCGCGAGTCTGATGAAAATGAACTGCCTCGAGCGAATCCTATGGATGAACCCCCGCAGGCCTGACCTCGGATTCCACCTCGCACCGATCTCATCGATGCGAGGCTGAGAGAAAGTAGAAATAGGGAACTGAATGGAATTCGAGAACAATATTGCAATTATGAATGGGACGAAGCTTATGAGGAAATTGGAAATATAGCTGGGCCAAGTGGATGTACATGGAAAACTGGAAACAATGGTGAACAAAGCGGAACCACAGCTAGTTATAGTAGAGCTGCATCTGTACAAAGTAATACTATTAGACCTAGTGGAAGTGGTCACAGTAAAACCAAAGCCCGCTACAGTTATACGAGAAGTGAACAAAATGAAACTAGTCGTGAAAGTAGTGGAACAACAAGTGGACACAGTGGAACCACACCTGGCAACAGTGAATATAGAAGAACTAGAGCTAGCTACAATAGAACCACCCCTGAACATAGTGAAGCCACAGCAGGCTATAGTGGAACCTCATGTGAACGCAACGGAGCCGTGACTAGAAGAAAAAAATCTGGAAAAAAGGAAACCACGAGTACAGACAGTGAAACTCAGCTAGATCCAGAAGCAGTAGGAAAGATAAGAAGGGTACTAAAAAATAACCAGGTTTCTGTTTCGGTCAAGTACATACTTAGATAATAATTGCTATCGTTTTGTATTTCACGTAAGATAAATTATTTAGGCTATAAATTATTTTACATAAAATTTTTAAGATATAGTACACTCATCTTGATATTATTTAGTTTTTAAATAATCTGTTGTATTTACAGCTAAATTAAACTTAGGAACATTTTTCGTGTCACTTTCGACTAAGTATTTATAACATAATTGTAGTTACACACCATCGAATAAATCTTTAAACGTTTTGAACCTTTCTTCCTTAACATCATGGTATTAATTTAGCAGCACATTCTCTATTAGCTACCATCATATGTTTTGTATGTATGAACTAGACCCTAACTACTCCGCTGGAGTAGCAACCCAAAGTTAGCACTGGCCTCCGAAACTACAGAACCACCTTTGCCAACCCATGTGCTTGCATAGGTCCTTCTCCATAGCGTCTTTCCACAGGTCGGTATGCCGAGATACGCTTTTTTTAACACTCTGTTCTTCTCCTCTCTTAAGATAACCACTCTAATGGAATCTTTCGACTTTAGCTTCACGAATTATGTTGGGTTCACCTATTAGGTCCTCGATCTCTTCGTTTTTCCTGACTGTCAAGCTTCCATCCTCATGCTTGTCGGGCCTAGAATCTTCCGCAGAACTTTTCTTTCGGCTACTGACAACTTCTCTTCTTTGAAGGTCAGCGTCCAAGTCTCATCCGTACAACAATATGAGTCATAACCTTTTTGTAAATACGGAGTTGGGTACTTCTGGTAAGCTTGGACGCTAACTTTGAATCCGGATGTCAACTCTTCCCTTATGTTTGTGTCCGTTACAGTACTATGCGCACATTTCCGCGTTAGAGCGCGGCCACACGATGTGGTAATGGTGCGGTGTGGCGCCGGAGCGGTGCCGCAACGTCATCCTACATACAAATTAATATACCATATCACATGACGCGTTGCACCGCAAGCGCGCCGGACTTGTGACTTGAGAGACGAGGCGGGGAGGTGTAAAATATATTCTCCCCCCCCGCCCCCCCCGGGCCCGCATCGTGTGGCCGCGCTCTTATACTCTAACATAGGTAAATTTTCCATGGAAAATTTTTGGGTTGTTTTTCAAGTCCCATCTCATTCTGATTTATTCCCATATCTATTTCAAAAAGATACTTAATTCAACCATAGCAAGGTTTACTTTTCTATAGACCGTTAGCTTTTGTCTACTCTATGAATTTTGTGTGTGTAACTCGTGGAGTTGGAACTTTATCAGTTCATGATACAAGTTGCTCACAATATGTTATAAATTTAAGAAGTAAATTTTTGTAAGAAATATTATGATAGCTACGATTTTGGACCATTAGAATGAAAACACTGAAAGGTGCAAATTTGTCCAGAGTTCACGTAGCTTTTCTACAGTTTTTATGCTAGGTAATTATGAAAGTACTAAGCTGTGATCGTTGCGTAAGATATTTTCGACGCTAAATTTATTCATACGAATATTAAAAAATGTATTTTTACACGAAAACAATGTCTCATCCAAATCAATCAACCAATCTTGTTGACCAAATAATATATGTTAGAAATAAAAGTATAGTTATTGTCTTTAATTTACGAGATTATCCAGTTTTAAAAAGGTTAAATGAATTTCATAGATTTAACTATGCCCATTTTTTTAACTTCTGATTGGTCAAACGGATTAGATATGCTGTTGACTTTTGGTTTATCTTTTAACTTATTATAAAATTACTAGCGAACTCCGTTTCGCCACCAGATGGCTTCGTTTTATGTAACATTTCGTTTGGTGATCCCGCTATTCTGTTGAAATTTTTCCTGAATTTTCTTTGCTATAAACCGAGACCTTTCCAACGAATGCAAAACCGTGGAAATCGGTTCGTGCGTTCTGGAGTTATAGCGTCAGGAAGGAAAACCCGACTTATTTTTATTATAAAATTATGATAAACGCTTTTTCTATAAGATTAATTTTTAAATGTATGTTTCGTAAACTTCTCGGCTATTTTTTGGAACTAAATTCTTGCTTATTGCAATATATATTATTGTTACTGCTATTTTACAATATATTTAGTTATCCAAAGGTACTTTTAACTATTACATAAAAAGTGCTCATTGTATAAATATACTAATGTACATAGTTTAATTTTTTTGTAAGTGGAATAATCTTTAAATTAACCCTCATATAACCTAAATCAGTCTTGAGATTAAACATAATTGACATAAAGAAACAAATAAGTAGATCATTGTCATAAGACTGATTTGGTTGAAGAATACTGGGTTTTTATTGAAGTACTAATTTTGTAATAAAACTATGTTGATATGTTTAACAAATTTAAAGTTAGTTTTTTATTGTAATTAGGTCATGAAGTACAATCTAAGACAATAGCTGGAAATATATAGATTAATTGAAACCACAGATGCCTGAAAACTCATACAAATTGTTGTACGCTGATTCATCGAAATTTTAGTTATTTATTCGGAATAATAAAATGTAAACTGTCCTATCAGAGTAAGACATTAGTGCAGTGATAGCCAACGTTTTAGATTTTATATAATTTACCTGTTTTACCTGTTTAGTGTATTTTATATATAAAAACTATTAATACTGAAACAAAATGTTTTCTTTAGATTCAGGATTTTGTTTAATTTACATTAAAGATATTAACAAATATCGTATTACGTTAGTTAACAATTCCTTACCTATATTATAAGGTTGTTGTACGTTTTTATTAATAAATGTATTTGAATTAATTTTGGTTTTTTGTGCATTAGAATAGTGTCCGATTCCCTGTAGCATCATGACATATTTGTGTGATTTATTCAAAAATAATAATCTAGTTGTGTTTCATGAATCATAGAGCCATTTTTCTGTATATTTTGCATTTATATGTTCTAGTATTGTCTTTTATTGACATAACTTTCACACATTTAATAATAAAACAATTTTTTTCCGGGTTTGAAATTTTTTTTTTTTTATTTTTTTTTTTTTTTTTTTTTTTTTTTTTTTTTTTTTTTTTTTTTTTTTTTCTGAGCTGTGGTAGTGATGAAGAAAAAGGTGTTGAATGTCAAAAAGTATCAGTAGAATGTATTATCTATATTTCTTTCCCCGGAGTTGGTATCGACTAAAAGATGCGAGGGTTTTGGCAGAAATAGCTCACGGTGCCCTCTATTTTCGCGGATTGTTTATCTTGAGATTTAAATTTGAATATTATTGGATCCCAGGTGTTTGACAACGGCCTATAATTGTGTTTCTCCTCAGGGCTTCTGTCCCTGACACGTCGGGTTTCCGTCCGGTCCGGTTTTTTTACGATGTTTTCAAAATACAAGTTAAAAATAATAACTGTATTCTCCTTACCTATCTGTAGTGGTAAAAGACAAAAGGAAGTCAAGACAATTTCACATTTCAATGCCAGATAATAACCTGCAATATCGTCAAAGTTAGCTTTTCAGCAATTTTGTTAATTGTTTTTGTTGTTCTGAATTAAACGAACTATTAGAAGAAATTAAAAAACATATTTATTCATAACGATTTATTGGAAATATACAAATCCACCACAGGACTGGGAATGCCAAACATGGAATACTTATGCAACACTAGCGCCAAACACGATGAAACCTTAATATCTAAGTACGTTAAGCTTAAAAATAACTAACAATTCTATAAAACATTTGCAAGTATAATAAGATAAAAAATATGCAATTTATAAATTAAATAAATCAATCAAAATGTTAGGTAAATTAAAAAGGAACATAATATCTTGAAGATTAATACTGTTCTAAAAACATTTTCTATAATATTTACAAAACACAACTGAATTCTTTAATGGATACTAAAATGAGCTTACAGTGAGCAAATGTTACGTTTGAGCTCGATTTTAGCCAATTGGTCCAGAAGTATGCTTCATATTTCGTTATATCAACTGCAGAGTTACTCTTAAACACTGATTATCTAGCTAAATCTACGTGGTACGATAACTAAATAATATTGGGATCGCTATTGAAGGGTATTGAATTTTATTTACGCAGATTATCTGTAAATTATTAAATCTTGTACTGGTTTTATAATTATGCTAACTATAACATAGGCTTACAAAACTAGAACTTGATAAAGATTTGTTAGCACCTTTATACAAAGTTAAGCCTCTGAAAGAGTTGTACATCGAAAATATTACTTAATTCTGTATACGAATCGTTTAATGACTTAAAAACACTTCGATTCTTCAAGTACACATACTCGTAATTGTCGGCAACACGTTTTCCATAGATAATAGAAACATATTTTTTATTTACGTAAATTAATACTTATGTACGCATTGTAATTAGGTATCAAATTAAACCGCCTTTTTTATAATTTGTTTTTAAATTACGCATTCATAAAATATAGATATTATAGCTGGCAATGTACGGTTATGATCGAGAAAAAGAAAATTTAAAGAAATTTGAATCCTAGGATAATTACCAGTTTCCAAAGGCTTATATATTTGCAAAGTTTTTGTTTGCGAAATATTTGTTAGGAGATGCAATATTGCAACGTACAATTTATTTCGAAAAAAAAACTGTTCAAGGCCTGTTCGCATATTCATGCCAGCTTATTCATTACGTACGTAATTTAAAATATGGGGTAAAAGTAATCTCTAGGGGTAGTTGGCTGGCTTGAGATCATACTTTATGTTAGTATTAAGACTGTTATTTAAACAGATGAATTTGCCTGGCCTCAAGTTATTTATCATATTTCATAGTTACGTTAGCAAAGAAAATCAACTTGCTTATATACTAAACTGGCGAATATACGATTTTTAATTCAACTTGGTCCTATTAACGCGAGGAATAAATTGTATCATTGCAATTTAGATAAAACATAAAATAGAAATATCGAATATATGTGGTTTTTTTATTGAACAGGAATAAACGGGCAGGAGGCTCATCTGATGTTAAGTGAACGCTGCCCATGGACACTCTCTATGCCAGAGGGCTTGCGAGTGCGTTGCCGGCCTTTTAAGAATTGATGCGCTTCTTTCATGAAGGACCCTAAGTCGAATTGGTTCGATGTTTAATTGTTTTACTTACACTATTTAAAATTTATTTCTCAGAGTTTCAAAGACAAGATAAAGTGCGGATGGGAGAATTATTTCGCACTTAATTGCCTTGTTTCAATATCCTAAAGGTATTTTCTACAAAGCGCATTAGACATTCTTCAGTATAAAAAGGTCAAATTGACGACAATTTCGATTGTCTTATAGATATATAAACGTGAATTGTACTTTAAAAAATTGTATCAAGATGTATGACTAGTTAATTATGCTAAATTGGAACTAAAAGGAATAACTTATAACAAAATTATTAACTATTTTAAAATGCACATCAATACCGCGACTTTAATAATCTACAATGGTTAAAATATTATTGACATTTGATCACATTAACAGCTTTGAAAGCCACAGAAGCAGATAATTTAAGTTCACGCCCCATATAAGCTAATTAGGCAGGTCTTTGAGCAATTTTAAACTACCTTTGAACATTTTCCTAGTCACCCACTTTTACAGTCTATGGCAAGCCGTGAAAATCAAAGTCTGTATATAGTTGATGTACTCTTTGGTATACTTCGTCACAGGATTGTAGAGTTTGTGGTAAAACTGCCATTGCCTCTGTTAATTCATCTTCCGAGCCAAAGATCTGAAACAGAAAATAATGTATACTAATTTAATAAAGAGATTTGCAAGTGTAGGGTATCTCTGGATCTACATAACCGATTTTGAAAATTCTTTTACCAATTGCAATCCACGTTATTTGTGATTCGGGGTAGTACATAGACCGTATATTAACCCGACCGAACCAAGACTTTTTCGTGGTAGTCGCATTTGTAAAGTGTAAAGAAACGGTCGCACGATAACGTTTCTTACGAACGCGGCCTTAACGATGAAATATCTTCATGGAGTTCTACAAAAAATTTTGAGGGCTTGATAATGCTTACAAAAAGTCATCGACAGCATATAGCTAACATTATATAAAGACAAATCTGTACGCGATAAACTCAAAATCTACTGCACGGAATTTATTGCTGTTTTCACCAATATTTAGAACGATTCGTGGGGAAAGTATTACAATATATATTTCGTTACAACGGCTTCGTGACAAGCCGGTGCGGGTCGCTTGTAATTAAAAGGTAGTACTTGTACACATTACATTTATACAAAATTTTTAACATTTTCGTAATACATCTATTTTTAGATGTTTTAACCCAAAATATCAACGTGTTTTAGACACAGTATACTTACCAAAACAATAATGAGATATTAATAATAATACCGTAAGTAAAAAGTTTGGTTTGATTATAAAAATATGACTATTCTATAAAAAAACTTGTGTATGATGATGTATGTATACTTATGAGTTTTAACACATAATATAACACTTATATTAGTTATTTATAATAATAATAAAAGTTATTTCAGGTACTTTAACAAATTTATATTTCTATCATCTCATTATTTTTTATGTGTCATTTAGCATTTACTTAATTCTGGTTAAACCATAAAACACAGCTGGAAAAGCAAATTATTCTTCAATTGTCCAAAATTACGTCAAGAGTCGTAAAATAATTTGTTAACGCTATTAACTTTCAGAAGTTAATCTAAATAGATTATTTTCCTATAGTGACGTAACTAAAGCAAAAAGCAACGTTTTTGTCGTGTTGTTAAGAATTATTATTGACGTTGATAAGGATAGAGGTTGGTTGTTTCGAAGCAATCATTACAAATGTATACTCGTCAAGAGGCCAAATCAATAGTCGTATTAATGTAATTTTTTGTGTATCCTATTGACACGAAAAAAGAGAGGACGCCCACCAGAAACCTGGGAAGATAAATTAAAGAGATAGCAGAGAAAGATTGGAAAAGAGTAGCGAAGATGAGAAACTAATGGATGAATTTGGAAAGGGCCTTAAGTCACTACATCAGAGGTGGTGTAAATATGAATGCATTCAAATATATGCAATTTCTTTTTTGACACGTACAAAGATTCTTGTGCAAATAAAAGTCTTTGAGTCGGATCCGAAATAAGTCGTAGTGAGAACTCATGACTACGGAAGTCAAAATCCAATACATTATTTACGAACGGTAGTCAGACTCAGACTGGAGTAGAGATGCCAACTTGGGGTTTTTTCTAACAAATTTAGGGGAACCATGCCAGAGGTTTTTAGGGGGGTAAATTTATTTACGAGGATTTTAGGTGGTACTTTATTCAAATTTTTTTTTTTTCGTAAAAAACACCCGATTTGAACCCAACCAAAAAACTAAACCAAATATAAACTCTAAGCTTGACGATAACAAAAATATCAATAAGCTACTCTAAGACGAACTACTTGGATGTATTTTAATGCATATCTGAAATTATTTTTGATCAAACCAAGTGTACAGCTTTAGGGGTATTTGAACTTGGTCCTAGGCGAAACATTAACAGTCCTAGATATTTTGTGTGCATAACATATACACGACGAATAAATCAACGACTCGTAGGTATTACGAGTGGTTTTATATGGAGTCCGGGAATAAGTAATCGCTGTAAAATAATATAGATAACTTTTACTACTTGGAGCAACGTGGCACCTTGAAAATCAATTATCATTTAGCGACCAATTGTTTTGGCCGTGAAAACAACTATTCGATAAACACTTGTTTGCCATAAAGATAAATGCGATATCAAATATATTAAAGATTTAATAAATGCAACGTTTTAAGTGATATTTCTCTTTATTATTTGATTGATAATATCTCATATCGCGAAATATCTTTAAAGAATTTGTTAAAACAAAATGTTAAAACGCATAAGTATTTCGAAAATCATATAAGATCAAAAATCCTGTTTTACGTTTTTAACAACCAATTTTTAAAGGTTATCAGTTATCATGTGTCTAAGAATATCCGAAATAGAATAATATAGGGGAAGGTCGGGACCCTTCGTACGGTTTTCACATTTTATTTTTATTTTTTTTCTTTTTCCATTAATCAATCATCTGCAAGCTTAAATTTATAGTCCTACTATCTGAGATTCATATAAAAAATGACAAATGATTTCATCTTATGGTTCAACCATAATTATGATTTAAACTAAATCTGGGAAACGTACGAATCTGCCCCATTCACGGGGCACCTTCGTACAGTGTTGGAGGTACCTTCGTACGCTGTGGGGTAGTTCCGTACGTGCGATTAAAACGACACGTATAAATCAAAATTCATTTATTAGCAATGAAATTAAACACAAAAATAAAGATTTAACTTCTATTAAACAAAAATAAAATACTTTTCTTATAGTGAACAAAAATTACATAGCTTTTAGCATTAATTAGTTAGGTATCTTAAATTTAGAATCACATTTTTTAATCTTTGGTGCGGATTAGCACTTCTTATTTTCGGGTGTGGCAGTATAAATTCGTGGTTTTCCTGGCCGTCGTCGTCATTTTTTTTGTTTTATTACTTCTTACAACATGCGGATAGGGTCGAAACGCTTCTGGTGTCAAAACTGACTTCGAAGGATTATTTGATGGATTGGTAAATTATTCAAAGCATCTGGTTCACAGGCATCAAAATCAACCTTAATAAAGATAATAAAAATAGGTATTAATATATATTTACATAGACGATAGCAATGATAGCAACACAGGACAAAGTTAATGCAAATATTAGCAATTAGCACACTAATACAATCTTTCCTACCTACCAGAGGGTTTAGTCAAGATGCCTTATTATTATTTGTATGTAGCAAGTCGAAAACTTAATTTGTATGAAAATGACAGTTCGTGTCGACAAAATATTTTCATACAAATTTAGTTGTACAATTCGTTCAAATGTGCCCCATCTAGTGCTGTCCGAAAGTACCCCACTAACTGAATAACAACAAAATATAACTTATTTTAATATTAAAAGGAAAACGTCATAAATTAAGTATTGGAGACGTATCTTAAGTATATTTTGCTAGTTACTGATAGAATACTCTACACGAAAACTTATTTTATCTACGGTAACAAGAGCAAAAAACATTGATCAAAAATTACTTACCGAGCGCGAAAACACGTCCATGCCTGAAGCTTCACTCTCATCGGTGCGAATTTCACCAAACTTCGTTGATGTATAGTTCGTACCTCGACTCATGCACACATACAAAAACAAGACTGTACTTTGTTTCGTTCAAGTTTTATTTTGACTGTATGAATGTGCCCCACGTACGAAGGGTAACGATCTTCCCCTACCTAATTATAAACATACTATTCATATAAATGTTTTATAATATGTCGTAATAACATTTATTTGTGTTTAAAACAACATAATAGTAACTACGAGTACTCGTAATATTCACGAACTTGCTTTGTTAGGTTTTTAGATTCCTACACTAAGCGTTCAAGTATTACGTAACGAATTTTGGGAGGCTGGGGTCCTTTTGTAAAACGTTACGATGCGGGGCGGGGATAGAATTACGCGTTATTGATAATATTATTTTCGACATGGGGGGGGCTGGTCAATAATATCCAAAAATTGCGTGACGTAATACTTTTTTTTTTTCTTTATAAATGGCTTTTATTTGTGCCAACTGGGCACAAGGTACTTCGCCAGTGTCGTGTAGATGGAGAAGGCACGAAGGAGATTGATCGGTGAAAATAATAATTAAAAAAAGTTGAAATTCAATTGTTAGTTTTAAGACAGCACAAATATGAGTAATAACATTATTAAATACCTACTATTATACTATTATATATTATACTTTAATTTTATTGCTTTCTATATATTTACATAAAAATCTACAATATGGACTAAACACAAACATTAACAAACATTTAACACGTAAAGGACGGGGGACTTTAGGGGGAAGAACGTCATACTGAGGATAGGTTAGTTTGGGACAATTAAATAGAATGTGAGTTACAGTGCCCTCATCCAAGCTACACCCAGACTTAATACTTGAACGCTCCCTTAAGTGTGACAGCCATACTTCAAAAATATGTATATTGGATTTTGACATATGGGAGTCACAGTTTCCACTGAGTCTCGTTTCTGAATCTCATCAATATATATGTGTTCATGAATTGAGGGAAGTTCATTGGGGAAGGTCTGGTCTGTGTTTTTACGGTTCCCAGTACGACATGTTTGCATCGCATGGTAGCACAGGTGCAGACCTACCCTACCACATCCCTCTGATGGGTAGGGTGGCGTGGTCTTGGGAGGAGTGCAGGTCACTGAGATCCCCAAGGCAAGTTTGGTGGACTATCCTTCTCGAGGTTGCCGACCCCGTTTTTGGTCTATTACCCTATGTAATAGACGCAACTGAAACCACCAAGCGATTAATTGCAGGGATGGAGAGGTCATGTCCTTGCAAGTTCATCATCCAAAAAGATAGGATGGTGGACAGTAAATGACCTCCCGCGTGTTTGTGCCGTGCGCGGGGACCCGTACGGGGGGATGAAGGAGTCCTGGGGGTTGAGTGTGACAGTGCGCCGGGAACAGTTGTGCGCTGCACACAACACGCCTCTTTGGTCTGGATTTCCCCTCACACGGGAGGCCATGGACTAGCTACCTGTGGTCAACCGGCTGCGGTATCCCATAAGCGGGCTACCAAGCGAGAGTCGGGGTGTGGGGGGGCCGTCGGCGAGGCTCGGGACTCGGGGTGAGTTTGCGTCATCGTCT